GGTTCCATTCCACACATGGGCACAGTGTTAGAGGCCACTTTGCACATATATCTGAGAGAGCATTTAATTCACTGCTACAGAATTAAATGCTCTTGTCATCAATGTTTGAAATAGCCAAATGTCAGTAACTTCCTCCAGTAACTTCTCTGTGTTGCTGGCCTGGCACTCTAGTTGAAAATTCTAGTCAATGCATATTTATTTTTCTGAATCATCAAGTCAGTTAGGGCGTCACCTAATGTCAAAGTGCTGCCATATTGCTGGAATATTGCTGAGTGTCTGGTAAAACTAAACTCACTTATGTCAAAGTCTGTTGTTGTTTTTTTATTCATTTTGTAGTATATTGGAAATCCATGCATTTTTGCTGAACACTGATTCAAACTGATATACAGTTTTATGGACTATTAGCAATGTGTGTAAAAGCCTTAGAATCACCACAAATGTCAGACAAACATATAGCCCCTGCAGCTTCATTGTTGTTGCCAAGACCAGTCTCAAAACAATGAAAATACATTGGGGCGTACACAACATATGTAAACTCTTTGAATGGCATTTCAGAGTGACACCCATAAAGGAAGAAATGTTTATGGATGTCAGCTTTTGTATTGAAGAACATATTCTCATACCTTTGTCAGGTAGATGATGAAGGAGTAAAAGTATACTCCGAAACATTGTTCATTGTCCCCCGCCGCGCATACGTACAAATTAGAATATCTTAAGAACCGTTGACTGGATTCTTTTCATATTTTGTACCTAGGTTCATCACAGTAAAAGAAAGGTCCCATTCAGGTTTGGTGACCTTGACCTTCATTTCAAGGTCACAAGGGGATTTTAACGTTTTACCCTTGTCAGCGAGATATCTCAAGAACTGTTCACTGGATTTTCTTCATATTCAACACCAAGCTTTATCTAGGAAGGCGCAGGGCCCAGTAAATTTTGGTGACCTTCACCTAATGTTCAAGGCCATGGCGACACTTTGAAGATTTCAGCAAGTTAAGCTGCATGTTAAGCTTGTCAGCGAGATACCTAAGAACCGTTCACTGGATTTTCTTCATAATTGACATCAAGCTTCATCGAGGAAAGGCGCAGGGCCCAGTCGATTTCAGTGACCTTCATTCAATTTTCAAGGTCATGGCAACACTTCAGCATATTAACCTTCATGTAAAGATTGTCAGTGAGATATCTCAAGAACCATTCAATGGACATTCTTCATATTTGACACCAATCTTCATCTGGGGAAGGTGCAAGGCCCAGTCGATTTTGTGACTTTCACATAATTTTCACCTAATGTTCAAGGTCATGGCGACACTATGAAGACTTCAGCATGTTAACCTGCATGTAAAGATTGTCAGCGAGATATCTCAAGAACAGTTCACTGGATTTTCTTCATAGACTTTCAAGACTTCCCTTGAATAATTTTCAATAAGCAATTTCTTTATAATTTATGCGGCTGGGGATTATGTCACCTTAGTGACAATTCTTGTTTTAATACAGAAGTGGACCTTCCTCTCTTCCCCTTCCCTGCTACAAAATATGTATTTGTATCCAGGTGCTCACTGACCTCACTGAATTCAGCAAACTCATTTGTGTGCATATGACAGTTAGCACATCATTTATTGCCACACCAGTATACTGCAATTTCACCAGGCTATCTCTGTCAATATGCCTTACAGATTTGTCTTCATATACACCAGCGACTAATGCCAAACCAAACTGGAAAACCTGTCTCCTTAATCTTCTGCTATGTGATTTAAGTCTTTCCAAGTTGAACGGTCATGATGGAAGCATGCTGGAAATGGAACTGTGGCATTTACTGTCCTCAATAGATAACACGTTTTGCATGTTTGAGTAAAAGTTCTGTATGTGAATTATGTTTAAGATTGAAATTTGGTGGCTACAAAATACATTGTGCAACCTGGCAATGAAATTATTGTTGTGTAATGCCACAAATGATCTTTATTTTGAAACTTTATTTTGAAGACAAAGCTTGTAGGTAGTATTGCTACTAGTAGTAGCAGTTTCCCAGTTGTTAGTTCATAGTAGAGGTTCCTTCAGATGCTGTAGCCTGTTGTCTTTCAACTTATAAATGATTCACTTTTATACTTGGTCCATGATTCCTTCTTTTGAATGATCATTGGGGAAAGCAGATGTCTAATTTGATTTCACATATTGGAACAATATATTATTCAGTCAAGAACCGCTCCTTCAATGACAGTCGTCCTAATTCACTTTTCTAAGTGTGATATGTCTCAATTAAAAACTTGATCGTTTACTTGAAGTTGAATAGAAAAACATTAGAAATGTTGCCACCACTGCTACAGTGTACGTTAATTTCCCATTCCCCAAGTAATGATGCCTGGTGTTGTACCATCATCAGGTTATGAACATCATCTGTCTACAGGCAAGGGAAGCAGAAAAATTGACCTAACTATTTTACACCCAATCACAAAACTCTGACATCAAAGAATCGGGAGAAATTTGTTCCATTTCTTGCAAGTCCACTTTGTGTTAGTAATTACTACAAACCATGGAAATTTATTTCCCCCATCAAGCAAGTAATCATGGCTCTAGTACCTGTTAAGAAGACATCCGTCATCATTAGGCAAGGGTGGCCCCGTCTATCCTAACCAACATTGGTCTCACTGTGTTTATATCCACCACACTTGCTGCTCAAGCCACTGTAGGGGCTGTGTCAAAGTCTGCAGATGTCTTTGTTCATTATTGCTGCTAATGAAGTGTTATGTAAGATCGAATGAAATAGTGTATAGTCACGTCTAGTGTAACGTTATGTTAAACTATTTCAGTTGTTTGCCCTTTCCGTCATATCAATAGGGGGCGGTGGGGTAGCCTAATGGTTAAAGCGTTGGCTCGTCACGCCAAAGACCCGGGTTCGAATCCCCACATGGGTACAATGTGTGAAGCCCATTTCTGGTGTCCCCTGCCGTGATGTTGCTGGAATATTGCTAAATGCGGCATAAAACCAAACTCAGTCAGTCAGTCAGTCAGTCAGTCATATCAGTAGGAAAATTTGAAAATGCCATAGTATTGTCAGTAATATGCATAGCAAATGTTAGTTCAGAAATTAGTTACCTAATATGGAATATAGATATGATAATGTCAAACCAGTCAGTGTTTTTTGTTTAAAGGATTACATATTCAGATTAGAGTTACTCCCTTGGGGTAAAACTTTCCACATTGAGGAAAATGGCTGACTTTTCAAACTTTGTCCATTTCTGTTACATTGGTTAATAGAATTATAGAGCTTAAATGGTGGTGAAAATAGCCTTAACAGCCTTTAAATTAATGGAGCAGAGAGAAAGTGCTTCCATATAACCATGATAACATTTGAGTGTTTCTGAAGGATACCATTAATTTTTGTCATGCATATAAAATTGTTTTCCACTTGTTTGAGCATCGGATTAATAAGTGACTCACTAGCCCTGGTCTTGGTGGCTCAGATTTTGTTTTAAAGAGGCCTTGTATTATATTTAGATACAGTTACTTGTATTTTCACTGTCAGTTAATTGTAGAAAAGAAATATATAAGTGCAATAAATTAGATGTGTATTTATCAAACCTGCTGACAAGTGTTGAAAATTAATCACATCAGTGAGTTTTGTGGATGGCGTTCTTTTAGGATTTTGTTTGAGAAAACATATGTTGACCAAGATTGAACCAGAAGTTGGTGTGTAAACTGACAAAGAAAGGTTTTGTAGATAGTCACAGCTTTATGCCATACCTATCAACACATTATCATTTGCAAGCTCTCTTTCATCTCATAAATCAATTAAGAATTTTCATTAGATTTGGAACTGATACCATAGATCCATAAAGACGATGATGTGGCAAATTGTCAGTGATTTTTTAATACAAGGAATTACCCTTTGAAAACATAAATTCCTTTCATTCTGTACTGATTACGCAGATGGGATATAGTTTGAGATGGCCCCTTTGCCCTGACTGGGCATGGCTGCCAATGCCAAAGTTGATAAGTGGATGTTATATTGGACTTCCATGACGTGCATTCTGAAACAGTGAGAGCAGTCGTTAGTGGCAGCATGATTTCACTCGTGTTCCCAGCTCCTCTCAAAACAGATAAAGTACATCAAAGAACTGCTTATATCCTGCAATCCACAACATGATGTCACCATCGTGAACTGAAGTAGAGATAACCTGGTTCATTCTATCCAAGTTAAAAGTGCTGTAATGGTTATTAGCTTATTAGCATCTTTGAGGCTGTTCAGGCTTGTATCATCAGGTGATGTTTTCAGGGACAGGAAAGTGATCCTAATACATGCATGTCCCATATTGATTTGACAGGAAGGAATAGGAAATGGAATCCCTCTTGCTATGAAAAAAAAATGTGTTGTGGAATTAGGTTAGTTGTGTTTCAGTTAGATTGTTTGCTGTTGAGAATGATCAGACGAAGCAGAGGTTCATTTTTGTGAAATGAATATGGCCTGTAATAGCTGTAGGGAAAAAGCACTGATGAATTTGTTTAAATTTCCAGCTATAATAGATTGTACGATGTATTGTCTCCAACAGCGGTGAAATCCTGGAGCCATTTTAGTATGTGGTTTGTTCGGAAGTGATATCACTGTGTCCATCTCTTATAGCACCTTCCCACAGAATTATTTTTGGACATATGCTGTTGAGTCAAATCAAAGCTATCGTATTCATCATAATTAAAATGGTGATAATTACGGTGGTTAACTAAAGATGATTATCAGCATAAAAGAATTAAGTGTGGATGAAACTTTGCTAGTCTCCTCAATGTGGCAGGTGGGCTGTTTTATTAACGCCAAGACATGTTGTAAGATAAGAAAAAGTATCTGGTTTACACGACCATGATGTATTTACACACTGCTTTCACATTATGCCATCATACATGTAGTGTCTATCCGCAGTCTTCACTGCCTGATTTGTTTACCTGCTGAACTTATGAGGACTTGGGAGTGTGAAATACTAGATAAGATTTATGATAATGGTGTTTTAATGTTGCAGAGTGAATATGAGTTGGCGCCAGATGAAAAGAGAATGGCCCTTGCTGAGGAGATTCTGAGAAAATACCTCAAGGCAGAGGTAAGAGAACCATGTTCAATACGAGGCATGGCCATTTGTGAATAAAGCACACAGGTTCAAGTCTTCCAATGCTGTAATAAGCTGTAGTTGGCTCAACTGTTATACTAAGGGGCTAAGGAAATAACAAGGCATCTGTCCTAAGGCCTGTGGGTATTTCTAAACACATTGAAAATAAGACTTTGCATGGGCAATCCAACCACTGGTATATTTGGATCAAGATTCTCCAGTTTGTACTTGTACCGAGTTGTGGAGGGTATACCTGTATCATGTGTGGAACATTAGGGATTGGACTTATATTACTCACAAGATGTTAGTGTTGGAATCAGAACAGTCATTAGCTGAGCTAGTTGGATGAGAATTGTCATGGCAAGCTTCAGATATATGGATTCAGGGATTTACAGGACGCAAATTCCTGCGTCCTATACGCTTGAAAATTGACAATGGACGCAGCGAAATTTATTAGCGCATCCACAGGGACGCAGAAAGGTCCAAATACTTTTGTAAAATTTCCAATCAAGTAACAATAAATTATCACCGAGTTTGCTACTAGCTGGGTTATGGTATCATTTGCAATTTAATTACTGTAACAATTAATGTGTTGATCATGATACACAATACTATAACAGTATTTATAATAATATTTAAGTGTCTGGAACTCCCATTTTGTTGTCCAGGACCTATGAAAATTATAAGCATGAGTCCCAGGGACCCTCAAATACAGGACTCAAGGTAAATCCCTGGGATTAAAAGTTGTTGATGCCAGTGTTAATACAAAACAGCAAGAATGGTCAGTATAGGCCAAAATTATAAGCATGCATGTGCAGAGTCTACTGAGCGAAATCTCTGCCATCCTTTCTGTACTAAGTTTCATACTTTTGGTCGAACTTTTTATCCAGCACTTTTGTTTCTTATTTTCAGTTTGTGTCACTGTACTACTATTTCCTTACTTTATATGTTTTCAGAATCGAATTGCTCATTTGTGAAGAAACTGTTCACCATATTTACATTTTTTTTTCAGTTTTATTCAGGTTGTTGTACAATGGAAGCAGTAAAATGCAATGAGAGTCCTCCACAAAGTCAATTGTTGTATGATGTCACAATGATAATGTCAGTGTCTCACATTTGACTATATGTAAAGATGTAGACTTTTCAAAACACAGCATCTGACTTTCCAAAACACATTGATACAGCTAGGATTTCAAACTTGCACCCTTGGCAGGCAAATTGGGAACTTATCATGATTTTTACAGAATCAGAATTTTTTAAGTGAGTTGATTTAAAGCCTCTTTGATCTTCTTTATTGGCCATGATGTCAGTGAAGTAAAGGTCACTTCAACTTAACTATAATGGTTGTTTAACATCAGCATGAACTCAACATTTTGCAAGAAGTCCTTAGCCTCATGTTGTAATTTGGTCAAGGAACACACTGTGACACTTTTGTGATAAAATCATTCACACCCACGTCCATTTATTTGTTTATTTATAACAGAAGACAGAGGCTTCCAAAGATTGATACATTGTCTTGTTTTGCATATAAATTATATTTCTACCTCTTTAATTTTAGGGTCATGAAGGATTACCTGAACTCTGAACCCTTCACAGAATTTCTGGAGAGCATGTTTTTCAAACGCTACCTACAGTGGAAATGGTTAGAAAGGTATGCAGAAGTCTGAATTGTCTTTACAGGTGATAAAATGCCATATTTATGACAATGTCGAGATCACATATTAAGACAAACATCCCAAGGTGTACTGGCTCAATATTTTCTTATCATTGTTGAAAAAACATCCTTAGTTTTGTTTCTCTTCTGTACAATTTGAATACTGATGTTCTGCCTAATGAAGAGACAGTAGTGGATGCTTCAGCTCATAAGCTGTTAAAGGCGTGTATCCATATTGTCCAAGTAAAAGAATAGTATAAATCACAATATTGTCTTGACATATCACTTGTTTTTGGCTGGGTATACATTCAGGTTCTATGTGGAAAATATACCATTAAAAAAAAGTAGGGGATATTCCATTTTGCGAGCATACCACTAGCCAATGCCAATGCATATGAGAAAAAGTAATAGATATCCATACAGATGAAACTTTTCCAAAGGAATGGAATAAATTGTCACATTTTCTCTTTATCATATGTTTCCTCTTGGCTTTATCATTTACATTTTATCAATCTTGTAAATCTGATATCCCCTACTTTTTTTTAATGGTATATTTCAAGTTGATGGTAATGTTTGTCATGTATGTTCTTTTTAGTCAACCTGTGACCAAGAACACGTTCCGGATGTATCGAGTGCTTGGTAAGGGTGGGTTTGGTGAGGTGTGCGCATGCCAGGTGCGGGCCACTGGCAAGATGTACGCCTGCAAGAAGTTGGAGAAGAAACGAATCAAGAAGAGGAAGGGGGAACCCATGGCTCTCAATGAAAAACAGATCTTGCAGAAAATCAACTCTCGGTTTGTGGTATGTGTGACAATACATTATGTCATAGGTTCAGATTCAGATTTTTCAAATATCAACAGAGTGGACTTGGGACCAAGAGGCAATGTGGCATGGTTAATACATGACACGTTTTATGGATAACAAGTTCTTTTTATTCTTAAGCAACATTTCAGAGCTAATTCTTGATCCTTAATCAAGACGTGTCATGTATTATGTTCAATTTCTAAATGCCTTTGAAGAGCTTAATGTGGGATTGACTTATTTAGAATTTAGCTGTTTAGTGTTCATTGTAACAACACCATTATTATGGTTATTTACAGATAATCCTATGGACGATGTTGTGTTGTCTTTGAAATAACCTTAGCTGAAATTTTGAATATTTATATCAAGTCTAATCATAAAGAGTAACAAAGTACACTAACAAATCTGCTAACCTGGATTTGGCGTTCTGCCCTGTAGGTTACAGCTTGTTAGCCTCCTTTACTAGTCATAAGAAAGCGACCAAGTGGATTGGATGGACATTCTGGCATTGTTCATGAAGTGTAATTGTACCCCAGTTGTTCACAATATCAATGACTGAATAGTCCAACAGGGCTCCAGATAAAGGGCTGTATTGGTATGTACGGATATAAAATAATACAAGTACAGTACGGTAGGAAATAGTTTAGAAAAGCGTAGCAAATACACACCACAGCAATGGTGTATACGGTCTTAGAATCATTTACAGGCGTATTTATCTGAAAAAGTGTTGTTTTATTGTTCATTGACCTGTTTACACAAGGGTATCAATGTTGTGGTGCATATATGAAATGAAACACAAGATTACTTATACTCCATTAAATTCCATTCAGTACTCTAATAATGTACTCTTTATTGTTTTCCAGTACTCCTGTATTGAAAAATATAGAGTGAGTACATTACTCTGACCATGAAAAATTATCTGGAGCCCTGGGTCGTTCCTCAGAACGATTGTTTATTATGACTGTCGTAAGTCTATGTTAAAGTATATTGTGACGATCACCTTGTGAAACAACAAACATTCTGCTTAAAGGCCCATCCAGAACTTGTTTATTAAAGAGGCCATCATCATACAGCAAGTATATTGTGACTGCTGTGTGAAACAACAAACAAACATTCTGCTTAAAGGTCACATGCAACCAAAAAAACAGACATGATTAAAACACAATTATCACTTATTCATGACATACAATATACATTGCTGATTATGAAAAACACAAATAAACAAAATTATAAGCGTACAATCGCAAATCAAAAGTGCAATATTTTCTAATGACTGAACCCAGTCAGAGCAGGTGGGCGTGCACTTAAGTGTAACGAAGGCTTTCATTAGCTGGTTCATTTGCCGATACACTCAGGGCTCTTTGTGTGTGTATGTTGGGTTTTGTAAATACATGCTCATTTTTTGTGTATAACATTTTGCAATCGACAGACATCATAACATGTCATGTGAACAAGAATAACACCTGCCTGTCTGTGTAATTACATAATGTTACAGAGACAGAACTCGGGTGCACGGGCCATAAATCAATGCGTTTTGTTTATGGTGTATAGCCTGATAGGTGTTAAGTTCAAATTGCATGTTGTCAGTGATCGAAGTTGTGTATTGAATATTGTCATTAGCAAACAGGCAGGCAGACACATAGGTGTCAATAAAACAGATATTGAGTTTTGTCTGTGACAGAGGCATATCTATATCACAGTTAGAAATTCTGACAATGCTAAATAATGACATTGCTTTTAAGTATTGAACTGAGAATGTGACTCGGTAAGAAGAACGTGTGGTGAAATAGTCAAATAAAATTATATAAACAGTTAAATCGGTAATCTACTGTCATAACATATAAAAAGCTCGCACCTGTGAAATATCAATAAAACATTAGAAAAATAGCTCACATCAAAACCTACTCCTAGTACTCACCGCCAGTGAATGTTTTCCGTCGAATGCCTCACTGGTTGACACATAGCTGAGTAGATCTAGATCTAGGTTGTTTTATGTAACAAGTAGATTATTTACTGTTGGTTGGTTGTGTACACAACCAAGATTAGACTACTCCTGCTCACGACCTTATAATCTGTACATCCCGCTTATAAGCTGCGTGAACCTATTCACTGCGCATGCGCCATCAGCGCAGTGCAGCACAGCACAGCTGTTGAAACCACTTTTTACCCCAGCTGGGGTGAATTTAGTGAATCGTTTGAACTCCAATTTCGCGGGTTGGTTTTCATCACGTTATTTTTCAACTTTATAACTTTTGATAATTTGTTACTGTAAGTCCATACCGAAAGGTATCAGAATCTGCAAAGTTGTGTTTTACGTTGCATGTGACCTTTAAGATTAGTAATCACAGTTGATATGATGGACAATTAGATAAGCAGGTATTACATCTTGAAATATTATGCTTGACACTGTATGGACATTCGGTGGATGTGTTTCTTATCAAATATGTTTTTATTTCAGGTCAGTTTAGCCTATGCATTTGAGACAAAGGAAGCTCTATGTCTAGTGTTAACAATAATGAATGGGGGTGACCTGAAGTTCCACATCCACAATATGGGCAATCCAGGCTTCCCTGAGGAGCGTGCATGGTTTTATGCTGCAGAAATTACATGTGGGCTGGCAGACTTACATAAAGAAAACATAGTTTATAGGTGAGTCAGGGTGGAATTTTACACACATCTGTTATCTAAAACATTGTAAGCAAGAGTCCATTTACAAAATGTAAGTGGTCATAGTGTCAGGAATTTGTGTCACTGGCTTTATGATCAATGTAACAGTAATTGTGGAAGTATCAATTCAAGTTGAGACTGATGGTGAATAAATACTAATCTTGAAAAATGTTTTGTATGACAACTACTCCAAACAATAAGTGACATTCACTCACTCACTGGACACTGGGAATATCCTATCTAAATTTGAGTAGTTTGAAGAATCCAATTAAGAGTTGATAAAATCATGAAAATGTCCCCATGCATTAGTCTCAAATCACTTTGATTGCCTGGCTCTTTGAATGTCACTTCAAATGTGTCATTTGAACATTGTTGTTCTCACCAGGCAATCCATTTTTATCCAGTTATTATCAGCTGAGGTGTTTAACTTGATGTATTTAGTGTTACACGTGTATCGGGCGGTGGGGTAGCCTAGTGGTTAAAGCGTTCGCTCGTCACGCCGAAGACCAGGGTTCGAATCCCCACATGGGTACATTGTGTGAAGCTCATTTCTGGTGTCCCGCGCCGTGATATTGCTGGAATATTGCTAAAAGCGGCGTAAAAACCAAACTCACTCACTCACTCACTACACGTGTATCACAAAACATTGATGTATACCATTTTGTTGTTTGTATCTTTCCAGAGATCTGAAACCAGAAAATATATTATTAGATGATTATGGTAAGAAAATATGTTGTAACCTTTCTTGTCATTTTATCTTTGTAATGTAAATAGTTGAATAATACAAATGCAGATTTACATACATTTTAGTAAGATTGAGTGTTATTGCTTAAGTTTGAAAGGTAACTGTTGCCTTATAAAGAATGACAGCAAAAATCACATCCACACTTAGACAACATTGATCTAAAGCTCATGTTGGACACACCCGTGAAGGTCCGGGTTAGAATATTGATCTTCAGTAACCCATGCTTGTCGTAGGAGGCGACTAACGGGATTGGGTGGTCAGGCTCGCTGGCTTGGTTGACACATGTCATCGGTTCCCAATTGCGTAGATCGATGCTCATGATGTTGATCACTGGATTGTCTGGTCCAGACTCGATTATTTACAGACCGCCGCCATATAGCTGGAATATTGCTGAGTGGCGTAAACTCAAAACTAAACTCACTCACTCACTCACTCATGTTGGACATGTGAGTGGTTTATGTAAAGTACCTACATTTTGTGGCAACTTGTTTGTCTTCTATTCTTTGACTAACAGAATTGCAACTATGTCTATCCCTGACATCTTGTGCAAGAGGGTTTCAGTGACAGTTTGTGTTTTCAGGTCATGTAAGAATATCAGACTTAGGGTTGGCTGTAGAAATTCCTGCTGGAGAGTTAATACGTGGGCGTGTTGGTACAGTAGGGTACATGGGTAAGTACTGCCAGCTTCCTGAAAAATGTTTTTAATGATCATGATAGATTATATTGTTTTCTGTTAGTGCTGACTAAATTGGATCAATAATGAAGTACAGTGGAAGCTGTCTAAATCGGCACTTGTTGGGACTGAAGAAATAATCTGGTTTAGACAGCGTGCCGGATTGTACAGCTGACACGGTTACTTACGACTAGCACTGAACCAGTTTTGTCACTCTCATATACATTGTTGTATCTCGTGGTTCTCTCAATTACTGCACACATTGACAATAAAAGACAATGATTTCAGCTCATATTCACTTTTATTCCCTTATTAACATAAACATGATAAATCAACACACTTGAAAAAATTAATTGGTTTGGAAAGGAATAATTGGTGACAATACACATCCACTTGACTCCTCGCCACGTGCTGAATTAGACAGTGCTGATTACTGAATAAACACATATTTGGGCAGCTCATTTCATGCCAAATAAAACTAGCCATGGACGGACTGAGATTTTATGCCCGTGTTGACAACTTTGCCGGATTGGACAGATGCCAGTTTTTGACAGCTTCCACTGTATAGGACTTTATGGATAACAGCTTCTTGTTTCTTGTATAGAGTGACGTTTTGGTGTAGATTCTTACACCATTATCAAGCTAAAAGAATCGACACTGAAACATTGTTCAGTTAGCCTTTGAGAGTGCCTTGTCAGAATGTCATGTTTTTGTTTCAGCACCAGAGGTGGTAAAGAACGAGAGGTACACAATGAGCCCAGACTGGTGGGGCCTTGGATGCATAATATATGAAATGATAGAGGGCAAGGTGAGAGCAACGGGAAATTTGAAAGCTAGTTATTATTTATAAAAGTGATATTCATTGTGAATTGTATATAATATATCGCTGACATGTAGTGTTGGAAGACTTGCGTAATTAACCATTTGATATTCTTGGAGGGGATGCTGGAATTTGTATGAGACTGGCCATTTTGTTAGCTACAGAAGATTCTAATTGAAACTATGAACCCAATTTGTTTATGCTGTTATTCAGTTCCAATCCCTGTAGTACTTGTATGTCAATATGTGTATTGTATAAATGAAACTCTGCTTCTGTTGCTTAGGCCCCATTCCGGGCGCGGAAGGAGAAAGTGAAACGAGATGAGGTAGATCGACGGGTCAAAGAAGACACAGAGACTTACTCCTCCAAGTTCTCAGAAGACTGCCAAGCAGTATGTCAAGCGGTGAGTAAAAACTTAACATGGATATTGTGAAAATTATCACTCAATATATATATATATATATTTCTGGCGAGGTGACATCTGGTGAGGTTCCCTAGGTTGGGGTAATCCAGGGTAGATGACGGCTGTTCACATTCTTGTGGCATTGGGCGACTTAGATAAGCATTGGTTTATTACAGTGTCACCAAGCTTATTGCAATGTTACTTATCATACTGTGTCCCTTCCTGCCTCAACAACACATAACCCGTGAAGGTCCGGGTTAGAATATTGATCTTCAGTAACCTATGCTTGTCGTAAGAGGCGACAACAGGATCAGGTGGTCAGGCTTGCTGGTTTGGTTGACACATGTCATCGTATCCCAGTTGTGCAGATCGATGCTCATGCTGTTGATCACTGGATTGTCTGGTCCAGACTCGATTATTTACAGACTGCCGCCATATAGCTGGAATATTGCTGAGTGCGGCGTAAAAGACAACTCAGTCACTCACTCACTCAACAACACAGATCGCTGTCCATGTCAATGACCACAAGAATCGCTTGCCTTGACCACTGCATGAAATAAGATCCACTGACCAGTGGAATACTGCTATTCAGTTAGATTTGAAGCTAAGTTCAAATCAGTTGCTAAGGTTGTGAAATGTTTCCACTTTAGCAACACCATTGCAAATCTATTGATATGAAACCATAGTATCCAGAGTTGAGGAATAATATTTTTGGTAAGATTTGACATAACAGGATCACATAGCTTTTTGGTGCAAATTAAAAGAGTACAAACAATATTCAGCCACAAGCATCTGTGATTACATATGTCTCAATGCATGTGTTCCATATTCTCTTCACAGTTACTACAAAAGAACCCCACATGCCGGTTAGGGTGCAGCTCAGAGGGTGCAGCTGAGGTGAAAGCTCACGCGTTCTTCAAAAATATCAACTTCAGAAGACTAGAAGCTGGAATGTGTGAACCCCCTTTTGTACCAGATGTAAGTATAAACAGATGTGACAGTTGTCAGAATTCCATTTTTGTGGAGCCATGGTGGCTTTTAGATGACTGACTTTGTGTGCTGGCGATTAGGTGACTGACTCTGAGAATGTGGGTTTGAATCCTACCCAAAAAGTACTAAAATCTCTACTTACTGAGAAAGTGTAATCCCTAAACAGTGCGAACAATGTGGATAGATTGACTGAATATTTACCGTATTTGCAACAGAATTTGTACTTTACTACTGTAATCCCAAGTGTAACATATGTTAAATTTCACTACTTTCTATTAAGCATTGTGTATTAAAGGCTTATATATTCATGTATTTGCCCTATTAACTCATCCTCGATAATTTCCACAGTATAGGTTCCGATAAAATCTCCACTAAACCCTGGATGCATCTACGGCTCGGCCCCATGATTTTATTACCTCCCTTGACTGGCTTTTTATCCAATCAGGTGTCTATGCTGGGAAGTTGAGTGTACCAATCACAACTCACTTTCGCTTCTTTTACCTAACCGATTAAACTTGACACCATAATTGTTGCAGAGGTACTCTGAAAGAGGTAGTAAGAGTTCTTGCATATAATTTGTCTGTATGATTTCCCCCCAAATCTGAGTCGCACTGCGAACAAATCTTCGTGGCTGCGACTGCTATCTTTGTTGACACTGGCAAGCTCGGTTGTAACGGCGGCTTAGCTGATTGGCTACTGTGAGAATGCAGAGCCAGCAAAGGGAGGTAATAAAATTATCGGGCCGAGTCATACATGCATACAGGGTACTAGTGGAGATTTATTGTAACATATACCCTGGAGATTATCGAGGATGTATTAACTGTTATTCTGCAATAAGCACCCCTAACCAACTTCTAGCATGCCAAGCAGTGATTTTATGCCCAAGATTTTAGGAGTTTCACTGCCTTTGTGTTCAGGAAAACTTTGGTCTCAAGTGCTGTTGTGGTTTCTATATTGTTCACAGCAAAGCAAACTTCAGTTGAAAGTCAAAAGTTTAGTATTGGTGTGGTTGCAGCCAAAGTACAGGATTTATTCCAATGCTGAAACAGAGGCGTTAGTTTTAGACTTATCCAAATGATTACGGTTTGATTTTCAATTTGTTCAGCCTCGGGCAGTATACTGCAAGGATGTGTTGGACATAGAGCAGTTCTCCACGGTGAAGGGTGTTAACCTTGATGCCAGTGATGACACTTTCTACAGCAAGTTCAACACAGGCAGCGTATCCATTCCTTGGCAGAATGAGGTATTATCCTTGTTCATTGTCACAGTCATGTATTACACCTTCGTATAATTATGTATTGATTTGTAAAAACATCAGCGGAATGTCTTCTACTCACTTTGTCTGGATATTCCTCTCAAGATTTATTCTTGTTGACTGATTGTTACCATAATGATTTATGTTAACTAAAATCCCTGGAATTAGTTTTTTTACTTGATTTGAAATTTGGAAAATGTGAGTCAAATCATGCAGTGAAGGTTTATAGTTGCCTTTTCATTGTTATAATGTCTCTCTAGTTCATGATGTTAAAACTTTGTCCTAAAAGATTCCATGTTTTTTCAGATGATAGAGACTGAGTGCTTTAAGGAATTGAATCAGTTTGCGTTTGATGGAGGACCTAGTCCGGATCTTATAGAAGACATGCCGCCCCCACCTCCACAAAGGGGCTTCTTTGATAGGTTATTTCACAGACGAAGGGTTAGTGTCCCTATTAAATGCCATATGTAATTAAACCTGAATGAACTTTGTAATCTCCAGAAGTCAGTAACTATCTATCTGTATCCCTGCATACATTATCATTTAAAACAACAGTCCTTTCTACAATATACAGTGACTGTACTGAAGATTTGCCCTGATAATAATCGCTGACTTGATAACACCGTACCAATGTTTCTGAGCTGAGACTCTGTCTGTGACCATAATGGTAGACAATATTCTGGTCATTTTGCTTGAATGATCTACATACCTATATGAAGAATGTCAAGATTTTCCTCTTTCAATTTCAGAACCGAGATCATTATTCTTAAAGGAATAACCTCTCCAGGGTACAGCCCAAGGCCCATTACCATGGAAACAGTAGAGTGTGATTGACCATCTTGTGACTCAGTTCTAGAGATTCGATTGGATGGTCCAAGCAGTGGAAAAGTCATGTGAGGCAGCGGTAGTGCTGCCATTGTGAGTCATCCAATATCACTCAATTCAGTGTGTCGTGTCATGTTGACTGAATCACCACTGCAGGGTAAATGGTCAGATCAACTTGCCTCAATAGTGTTCACTCAAAAAAAATTCGACTTGGACCCTTTCACTAGAGTGCAAACTTACTGATGTAAACATATATAAATATATATATGCATCCGCTTGCCAAATGACAATGGGTACATTAGTGTGAGACCCAAGAGGTTTTGGATGTATCTGCCAGGAAGGACCAGAATTACAGCTAGCTTGAGGCAGATCCCCAAGGACTTCTAGGAGGTTGACACCAGTGCACCGGACTTCTCATTTTGGTGCAGTAGCGTGTTGTTCCGAATCAAGAAGCTGTTTCTCCCCCATCATTCAGCTGATGACCTGCGTTGTCTGTCAGTGGAACCGATGGTCGTCTTGTGCAGCTTCTTTGGGCTTCTTGGCTGTGTGTTTTCTCCTGTGTTGTTGGTGTCGTCATTGTTGTCGTCGTCATCTTGCTGTCCTCACTGTCAGTGTCCGATCATTACTGCATTGCTACCTCAGTCGAGTTCATCGTGAAAACAACTACAAGAGATTTGACCAGCATCCTTGTCACTCCCATCTTCACTCACTCTCTTCCAAGGCAGATAATACACAAACTTGGGCTGAATCCATGCTCAACAGTATTATAAACCAATTCCAAGGCAGGAGTTACTCCAGATTATCTCCCCTTGCTCAGGGTGGGTTATCTCCCTTGCTCAAGGGCCTCAGTGTTGTATCCTGCTAATGGTAGGCTGGTATCCTACATCAGCATAATACTAACATTTTCACCTCTAGGAAGACCACAATAGTGTATAAAGCATTGTTATCTATGTTAGCTCCTTGCAGGGGCACTATCTATTGGATATGTACCTGTGTGAATGAGAGTTTGTGTTGTGTGAATTTGACATGTTTCTTTATGCAGCTCCACTGGATATTACTAGGATTAAAAGTGCTTTGTTTCTGTACTGACTGCATTTGTTGGTGTCCTCCTGTTGGGAGATTTTCGAAGTTTGAACCTCATTATGCGTTGTCATTGTGTTTTTATGGGAAAAAGATTATGGGACAATTGTGTTGAGGGTTCTTTTTTTGTGTTAATTTTGTTATGTCATGGAAACTACAATCATGGAAAACAATTACAAAAGAAACCAGAAAATCATGTCAAAATATGCAGGAATTATTCCAAGTTCCTTGCCGGAAATTTGCTTATCTCTCATAATGTGTACATTAAGCAGTAACCAATAACACAATGGTGTATGAAATAATTTGAGCAAATGTGAAAGACAAGATTTAGATCTGAGGTAAATGTGATGTGTTTTGACAAGTGTTCACCACCATCTTCTTACATCCAAGTAAATTTGTATACCTTCCAAAGGCCAACCCATACCCTTTGGACATTAGATTCTTGTTAGAAAACAAATCAAAGCATTACCATGTCAAGTAGTGGATACAGAAAGTGCTTGCTTGCCTCTTGAAGATCTCTGTATCATAATGTCGATCTATCAGTGGCTGATCAAATTTGAGAAGATACCTAAAGCACTATAGCCTATGTTACCATGTCCATTGGGTATCAATAAGAACACTTTTGGGATATCTATTGACTATTACAGGGAGTAAGTAATAAATATTTGCAAAAATGTATTTGTTAGTTTCTGGTGCTATGTAACTGTCAGCTTTAAGTTGTTGAGAACAAAAGTGAGCCTTGATAACAAAGTGCTGTAAGATATGTGTTCACCTTATGCTTTGTGATCCATCTCTTACAATGGCCAGTAGATTTCAGTACATGTTTGAAAACATCAGCTTGGTTGATCCAAGCTTGTTTACATGCTGGCATACAGTCAGCTCCAGATAAGATGAAAGCCAAGGGATTTAGGGACAACCATACTTCCAAAATTTGATTTTCAAGAGAACAACTAAAATGCTAACCCTTACCTGTGGGTACTAATTGACTTTGTGACAACTGATTATTATTTCTCTGTTTCATCAAATCTGGATTTGACTGCAGGAGGACCAAATTGGTTTCCTCTTTCATTGTCTCAGTACATGTACATGCCTAATTTGTTTCATGTTATATTCTGTTCGCTGTGAAATGAGTTTAATTTAAAGTTTCACTTGTGATGATTTCCATAAGATCATGGAATGATATGACTTCCTGCAATAACGCAGAATTTAGTAAATCAGGTGAATATTATTTATTTTCAGTGTAAAAGGTTTTTACTGCAGGGTTATTTTAAATGACTTACAGAGATAAATACGGAGCTAGAATATCAGAATATGATACTGACTCCTGACCCAACACTTACCAGGGATTTGCCTGTTTACCTTCTGTTTCCCACAAACTATTTATTACACATTTTTGCCTGTAATGCAATATATGCTAGGTGATACAAAGACATTTGCATGTCACCTTTTATATTTATTTTCTTTTGTATCATGACCATGGAATGCAATGGAGAATCGGTATGGACAGACGAAGACTTTCCTTGTGTTGGGACGTCTTCAGTTCTTTAAATGTTTCACATATGATAAAAGCTTTTCTTCTTTTCCCTATCCACACTTTCCTAGCCCCATCGTCCTCGACTTTCTCCTCCTGTTCCTCTAACTCCATCTCCTGCTGCAGAGTGATTCCGATTCAGTGTTAGATATTTTCTCCCGAAGAATGTGACAAACTGCTTTTTCAATGCACTTCTTTCAAAGCAAGTATTTTTTAAGAGTTTATGATTCTCATGTTCACAATTGTCAGGTTATTCAGTTCAGAAAACATGTTCCATTCTGTCATTACTTTGGACTGAAAACTACTTACAGTTTCAAGAGCAGTCAAGGGTAGGTAATGCATCATCAGTTTATTATATATTTTTTGGTTGTTTTTGTATATTTTTCTTATGTAAGAACTCATAATTCAGTCATATTTTAGGTTTTCATTAATGTTTTTCTACTTTTCAAACAGAGGATATTTTGTCATAAATATACTTACATAAATTCAATGAGAACAAAATGCTGAAATCATTTGCATTTCTCAGATATATATTTTGTAGACATAACCAGTTTATTCATTATTCTATATGCCAATTAAGGTGTGAATACTGTTGAATATAGTAAAATATTCATGATCTTGCTAATCTGCACATGGATTTCCATTCAAAAGAGATGCTCTTATAAAAACATAAAGTTCTATCTTGCCTATTAAGACAAAGTTTTGCGAGGTCATCAGAAACTTGGATTACTGGTAATGAATCGTTGATGCTTTATCTGATGCAATGTGTTGCTTGGAAGCAAAATGTAGAGTCTCCTTCATATTTGTGGTAAACAACTGACCTCTGTGAAGATTGCTGAATAAGCTTTTGCATTTTCATCATAGTTGATGTTGAAGGTGTGCATTTTTAAACAACTGCAATAGAACAATTGAGATTTGGAACAGTTTTTGATTGCAGTGTCTTGTTACTATGGTTATCTTCATAAATCACATTGTCTTTAGTCCAGACAAGGAGGGAGTAATAATGTTCAGAGCCTGATAGGGCTAATTAACCCAGGGGTGGAAATAACTTTAAAATTGCTGGTGTACTCCGGTACAGTGGCACATGTAAAATCACTTGCCCTGATAATTTTTCCACTACACCGGCCATTTTCTTGTTTTAATTTTTAAAATAAACAACATAAATAACATTGGAAAGTCAACTGGACACCGGTACAGCGTGATATACAAATTTGCTTGCCCGACAGAAAAAAACACAGGACTCGGACGTCGGACAATGGGTTATTTCCACCCCTGTTAACCACTTGGTTCTATGTTCACGCTTCAGTTACCAAACTTGACTTTATCAAAAAACCAGTCTACTGAATCATTTAATTTAAAATTATGAATATACCAGTATAACTTTTTTCATAATTCCAGATATCTGTCTTCAAGATCCTGATGTGAATTAGTTAATAGGACAGCTAAGTATGCATGAAAGAATCCTTTAAGATATCTGACTTTGTTAGAAACTTTGTCAACCCCCAAATAGCACAGAGAAGGAGCATGTACTTTGTGACAGAGTAGAGGATAGGGATTGTATTTTAACATGCACTGATATACAATCTAACGGTTGATTAAGGCAGTGATATTAAGCTCAGGTCAGTGTAATAGTTGTGCTATAGTGGCATCTCCATATGGGTTCAGATATGTGTATATTCCTATTTCAGAGGGGTTTGTACAGACAGAATTGTCTTGAGGAATGGAGTGGAATTAGGTTTGACATTGTCGAAAAGAGAAAATCAGGTACATGACTGATGGAACACATCCATACAAAGAGTCATGAGCTGGTTGTGACTGAACTACATTTCATGATGGTTATTGTTGGCAGTTTGTTGTCTCCATAACGCTCATGTAAAATGTCTCCTGCTGAAAAGTATGAGCCACAGATGTTTTGTAATGTATTGTCATACTGCAGTTCTGTGCCAGCATCAGCCGTTAGTTGGTTTGAATCTCAGTGTTACCTTGGTAACGATCAACTGTCTACCATACCTCTCTGTTTGGTTTCATCAAAGACACGACATACCCTTTAACTTACCTCTCATGTCAAGCTGATGTAATCATACTGTCAAAACATCATTAAATCCAATTCTTTCATACTAATAGTGATGAATCTGTAGTATATCTCACTCAGTTCCATTGCCCTTTGGAGGATCCAGGGCTATAACGGTCCTCTATTCCAGGGCGGTGGGGTAGCCTAGTGGTTAAAGTGTCCCCTCGTCACGCTGAAGACCCGGGTTCGAATCCCCACATGGGCACAATGTGAAGTCCAATTCTGGTGTCCCCTGCCGTGACATTGCTGGAATATTGCTAAAAGCGGCGTAAAACCATACTCACTCACTCCTCTATTCCAGTTCAGAGCTACTGCTAAGCAAACTATAGAAGGAAAACAATTGCAATCTGTTGAGTGGAAGCCTCACATCTGAACAATCTGTATAGTTGATTACAGCAGGAAGTGGAAGGTTTTAGGACCAGATAGTATTACATCTGAGGTAAATATTATGTTTACAAATAGATCAGTTGAAGCAGCTAATATGAGCAGTTGAAACCGCTAAACCTTTTACAATAAATTCACTCTAATGTCAGTGGCTATGCAGCATGTACAAGATACATGCAGATTTTGAACTACATGAGCACTTGATTCTTCCATTGCTTGTGGAAAGCCTACTGTCCCAAAACATCAGTGTTTGTGCGCATGTTTGAAGCCAGGGTGGAATGTGGTGACCGCAGTATCTACTGTGAATTAAAAAGCACATTGATGGGTAGCATCAGGGGAGGCCACTCTCAGTTATGATGTGTGTAATGCATACAGTGGTGCTGATAGTTGTTTGCACTGCCAGCCATTTAACAGTCTGGCATTGATCCCGTAGCACAGCAATGATTATATTGTTGTTTTATTGCCAAAATGGCATTTTACAGCATTCCTTCTCTCATTGGCTGCCTCTTTGTTCCTTTTCAGCTACGTCTTCCTTACATGCCTTTGTATAATGACTGTGGTTCTTCCACATGTGCTCTGATTTATAATCTGTCTATTCTTTGTCAGTCCTTTTCTATCACTGATTTTTGTATTCTCATACAAACCTAATGGACTTACTTCACATTCTTTCTGTGGGTCAAACTGTTTGATGGATTCAGGTATGTCAAACTCGAGAATGATCTTACACTGTTTCTTGACTAGGAATTCAACCATTGCATGTCCACAGTGTTATGTTATTGAAATATTGCAGTGTTTTGTAAATGAAAACCTAAAACCCACCCATAAAACACTTTACTACTTCAGGAGTGCATTTTAATAATCTACATGGTTTAAAAATGTTTTATGGAAGAAAAACTTTTTTAAATAATCCAGTGAAACTTGTTGTTGGGCAGTATTTTACCAACTTGGTAGGCAAAAATATCTCTGTTTCGGTTTTCTTCATCTTGTTTGATGTCCATGTTTCTGCAAGAGTTGTGATGTTATCAGGTAGAATGAATAGACAGTTTGTCAGTGTAACCCACCACTGTGGTTGGGCACTGACTAGTTAAGATACCATACAAGTCTCATGCTTAGAGCTTGGGAACTCCTCATACTAGTCACATTGTTATAACTTGCTTGATCCATTGTGTAGTCACTCAGTTTTAATCATGGAGGATTGTTGATTGTGTACATTTTAACCAAAATAGCAAGTATTTACAGTTTTAGTCAGTGTTTTCACCTTTTATTAGAAATCCATGTTATATTGTCAGCCATACTATTGAATGTGTAGTTTCATGACTAGGCTGGACCAATGATAACTACACGAGTTTGTACTAATTCATTTCAGTTGATCACAGTGAGGGGTGTTGATGTTGCTGTGTGATATGATGTGAGCTTCCATTGTGGCATTTTACGAGAATGTATGGAAACTTGGTCAGATATTTTTTTTAGATTTATAAGAGCTGGTTCTCATTTGTAAAGTATAATTAGAATAAACACATCCTCATTTCAGAATACCAAAGTTTGGCATTTACATCATTTTGCTATTACTAGAATAGCAGACATTATGTGCTAATGTACCTCAGTCAAGCATTGTCCCAGTATGCTTGTATGAAATGTTGCTAGCCAAATATTCTTGGGCAGTTCATGTATCATGACTGATGAAAGCATGAACATTGTGAGGGATTACTATACAGGTGTTAGACCATCAGGGTTGTTCCTGCCCCAGTGGCATAGCTCTAGACAGCCATCTCTCTTGTGTCAATGAAGTCCCAACCTGGGTGTCTCCACAGTGTTACTGAGGGTGCATACTGTCTTGAGGTCTCTTCAGTGTTACTGAGTGTGCATCCTTACTTAGGGAAGTTTCCTCCAGTGTCACTGAGGATGCATCCTGACTTAGGGAAGTATCCTCCAGTGTTACTGAGGGTTCATCCTGACTTAGGGAAGTATCCTCCAGTGTTACTGAGGAAGCATCCTGACTTCGGGAAGTATCCTCCAGTGTTACTGAGGGTTCATCCTGACTTCGGGAAGTATCCTCCAGTGTTACTGAGGGTTCATCCTGACTTAGGGAAGTATCTCTTTACTGTCACTGAGGGTTCATCCTGACTTAGGGAAGTATCTCTGTACTGTCGCTGAGGATGCATCCTGACTTAGGGAAGTATCCTCTAGTGTTACTGAGGGTTCATCCTGACTTTGAGAAGTACCTCTCCAGTGTTGAATCTAAACACTGGCATAGTTCTGTCCTTAATGAAAATATTGTCCTGAAATTGTCATGTTCATGAGACAGAAAGACAAACTAAGTATATTGTGTGCTTCGCTTGTCTTTCTCAGGTAGTTTTTACTGGATATATAGTCCAAGGTTTCCTTGTTCATACCTTGTGTTGTCAAATCATGACCACTTATGTAAGAGAGGAAATGCTGTTTTTGAAGTGTTCTGACATACTGGAATATTAGTTCTTTCTTGGAACATAACCCTTTTTATCAATTTTGTTTTTAATGTCAGGCTTCGTGGTAAAGAAAACAGGAGTTATTTCATGGGGCTGTTCTTCTTACAGCTGTACTTATCAGTCAGATTTGTGTTCCATGTGGGATTACTGAAGGTCCACATGGGATGGCAGTTGGGGTAAAGGCAGTTGTCTCCTCTGGGGTGAGGTGAGACAGGTTCACCACCTGGGGGTCAGACTGAGATGAAGATAATTATATTTCCTTGGGTTGAGGTGATCAAGGAATTCTGCTCTGTTGCGTCAAATTTTCCTGCTATTTGATTGTACTTGTATGGTGATGAAATGTTGTTAGTTCCAAATTAATTCCACATTGGCTATAAGGGGTCATATCCTGCCCTGCGTCAACACATTTTGAAGGATTACTTTGCTTAGTAGTCTGGACAACAGCATTGGAATATTAACAATCCATGCCTTCCTTGATGTGGCAAGTCATTGAGCTAGTTCTGTCTTGCCATTTATATGCAGTCCTTCTTAATGTGTCTGAAGTGTGGTTGGATAATTAGCGTCTGTGGAATTTATTTGAACTTGAAATTTGTATTTCCATATACTCAAATTTGTAACCTTTCAATTTACTGTTGTGATAACTTATGTTATTTGTGAAATTTTGATATTAATGGAAATGGAGCATGATGTCCATTCTGACAGTACAATACGTATTGGCTGTTATTTTGTAAACTTGCAGATGACAACAATGCATTCTTCCCTTCCACTGGTTGTTTGTATGACAGTTTGTACATATTGAAATTGTGTTGCACATCTCGATTATTTTGATTGCTACATTGTCGTGTCTCTTCCATTGTTAGTGGTAGGATGCTACTATACTGTTCTTCTAGCATTTCAGTCTGTGCTGATATTGTACATGCCAGCAACTATATTGAGTTGAGTTGAGTTAGGTTTTACGTCACATCGGCATTATTCCAGCCATATAGTGACGAGAACAAGTTTGCAAGCAACTATATTGATATCCATAATTAGGGCTCATGCATGTATACACTGAGCCGTGGTCAGGGATTAAATTTTAACAGTTCAGTGACTATCACTTTTAATCACAATATCGAATACATTCACCTTTCCATTATGAAGAAATTGTTTGGGCTTGGCTGTCTCACATAATCCTAACATGAATGGTTATTAAGTGCTCTAATTGCAGAATTGTATTCGAGGTGCCTGGATGATCTTTGAATCATCTTGACAGCATGAGATGTTAATTTGTTTTTGAATCAGTAGCTGACTCTGATATTGACTGCATTAATATTTGTGCTGGTCTCATTTCATTTCAGAGTAACAGTGGCAGCAAACTGAGTACTTAAAGCCATTTCATTTACGTCTTCAGCCATTTACAATACAGAACATTATCATATGTCAAAATACTCAGCTAAGTAAACTTGGGAGAATAATTGTTGCCGTGGTTCTCAGTGTCACCTCTTGTGTTCTGGTGCCGACTGTAGTTAGTTGTCTGGAAGCCAGTATAGGCATCCCTACCATGACCTACTTTCCTAACAGCAACTCGTACCCAGTGTAACAGTGTGGCAGCATTGCCTGGTGGTAGCTCGGTGGAACGTGCAATTAGGCAAACACAGGTGGGTGTGGGAGGGAGGGGAGGAGCCACGTGGCTGCTCTATGTCTAGACAATTCATGTTTTACACTGTATAGAAACTTCGATCATGAGATATTTATTTCTGGCATTGAAATAAAACATGTACATCTTTTTGCATGAGTTTGTGTTGTCTTCAGAAGTGAAGTGTGTGGAGAATGGAACAGCCAATGTTGACTCAGAAATGTTCAAACTATATGATGTTAGTCTGTTAATAATCAAGTCTGGACCCGACAATCCAGTGATTGATGACATCTTGAGCATTGAATTCCGTAATTGGATAAGATGACATGTGTCAACCAAGTCACCTGACCACCCTGTTGCCTTTACGACAAGCATTGGTTCTTGGTGACTGATTCTACAGCAACTACAGGTTACTATAGAAGTTGAACGAACACACAATGCTTTCATGTCGCTGTAATTTTTAGTCATTGCTGGCAGTTAGTAGTGGATGTTCTTTTATTAGAATCTTGGGTAGCATATATCTACAATTAAACCTCAATGTTCAACTTCAGTATCTAGTGTGACCACCACGAGCGGTAATAACTGGAGCACAGCGTCTATGCATGGAGTGCACCAATCGATTGATGAAGGCCATTGGCACCTGGAACCACACTCTAAGAAAGGCCTGGCGCAATAAATCGGCTGTGTTCGGCCTTGGTATGACATTATTTAGTCTCCCCTGAATTTCATCCCAAAGATGTTCATTTGGGTTTAACTCAGGACTAAGGGCTGACCACTGCATAATGTTGACACCGTTCTGCTGTAGGAAGTCCAGTGTAGCTCTGGCAGTATGGGCCCGGGCGTTATCATGCTGGAAAATGTTGTTCTGGTGACGTGCGAAATGTGGTATGACGTGGGGTCTGAGAGCTTGGTCGATGTAGCGCACTGCTGTGATGCCGCCTCCTCTCCCTGGACCAAGGTTCTAGAACACCACAGGACACACTCTGGTTCAGGCCTAATCCCCCTCATACCATGATGCTTGCACCTCCCCATGAGTCTCTTTCCATAACACATTGGTCTGAGTACCACTGGCCACGACGTCACCATATTCTTGTTCTGCCATCTGCAGTTGATACGCAGTACCGACTCTCATCTGTGAACAGAACAGTTCTCCATTGCCTGTATTGCCTGTTTTGGTGTTGTAGGGCAAAATGTAGAGGTTTATGCCGATGACGAGAGGTGAGGATAGGTCCACGGCAAGGTCTACGGCAATGGAGGTTCCTGCTGTTAAGATGTCGTTGTACTGTATCAGTACTGATTGGTCTTCCGTGTGTTCCCACTGCCTGGCGTGCTGTTTGGGATGCTGTCGCACAACATGGCAGTTTTGTCGTCTTGTGGTCACCCTTGGTCTGACAATTTGTGGTGTTGGTGGCCCGGAAACATTGCTGCAGCCTGTAGATGGTCCGAACGTTGACCTGGAGGTGATTGGTAACGGCTTGTGCAGCGTGGCCAGCTTCAAGTCTTCCTAGCGCCTGGTTCCTCTGAGCTGTCGTGAGGAGTCGCGGCATCCTGCTGACATTGTAATGTGAATGTTTCAACCAGGTTTGGGGGATGCATTTATAGGTCTGGTCCTTGTGAACAGCACGTGCAGCATGAGTTGCATGAAGAACATGGAGAACACCGTACCATCTCCGAGATCAGGTTGTGTTTTTGAGACCATTTCCTGGGTTCCATTCTGAGTTTGGGAAGGAATGTCTTTGCTCAGGTAAAGTTGGAGATGTTGTTAAAAATATACAATCAAAACATTAAATGAGTTCACAGTTATCCGTTTCTGTAAAGGAAAATTCCAAACTGACGTTTCTTTTGCTGCTTAGTATATTTGCGTACTCAAGACAGACAGATATAACCTGTTAAAACATCTCCCAAGAAACTATATGTAACCTAGTTCTATTTGAGGACATGCCACATGCAGACATCACTGAACAGCCTTCTTCCACCTGAGAAACATCTGCCTGGAAGGCTGTAATTCTGTCGTGTACCGGTAGCTGAAGCACTTCTCAAAATGATGCTGCTGGGTTTGTTGAAGGAGACAAATTAATCACTCCATCTCTTCTGGTGCCAACAATGAAAACAAGCTGATCACTGCCATTAACGTACACTGCTAACAACAGATGGATCATTTGCAAAAGCTGGATAACCACAGTGGAATGTGCATCTGATTTGCACCACTGGGAAGCCTGGATGTTGAAGCGTTGGCTCATAAGACAGAAGCCAATTTTGGGTGTCCCCTGCCGTGATATTGCTAAAAGCGGCGTAAACTCAATTCAATCACTCTCTGAGTCGCATACAAATTGTCAGACTTTCTCAAAGACTTTTTCCAAGACAATTACAAAACAGGTCTCTTCTTCAGAGTCTGTTTCTAGGTACCTTGTTGAAACAAGATGCTATGTAAATTGTATTGTCTGGTTTTATTTAAAACCCAATACTGCAATGATGGCACTTGCTGGACACCATCATCCACTGATGATCCACTAGTTTCTGTTAGATTGGTTGGTTTCTTGTCTAATGACTCTTTGACTGAGTTTGGTTTTACGCAGCTTTTAGCAATACTCCAGCAACATCACGGTGGGGGACACCAGAAATGGGCTTCACACATTGTATCCATGTGGGGATTCAAACCCGGGTCTTCGGGTTCGGCGTGACGAGCCAACGCTTTAACCACTAGGCTACCCCACCGCCCCTCTTGTCTAATGCAATCCAGTGATCAACAGAATCTACGCGATGAGATACAATGACGTGGTTTCTGCTAGAGGGTAACAAGTTTCTGTTGGAAGGTAGCTTGCACATGTGATTCTGTTGGATATGTCAGGCTCGCTGACTTGGTTGACACATGTCATCGGTTCCCAATTGTGCAGATTGATGCTCATGCTGTTGATCACTGGATTGTCTAGTCCAGACTCAATTATTTACAGCCCGCCACCATATAGCTGGAATATAGCTAAGTGCGGCGTAAAACTAAACTCACTCACTCACTGTTGTATATGTGTCTCAGCACAATGTAGTAGCTTCAAGCAAGTGGAGAAGCATGAATTTCTCACCATGTGTAAGACGGTCTGTTGGTGCACGTCTGTCAGTTGTAGCAACAAAAGACGACACTGACTGAGAGTAACTTGGGATTTATTCACAAACATCCCCGGAGGATATATCACATGCAACTTCATTTTGTACAAGAATTCAGCACTTAAACTCACACCTTACGACTATCAGTAAGATCATCACACATTTCTTGCATAATTAAATATGTTACATTTACACTCTCAGAAAGGCAATTATGGCTTAATTCTCCATTTCTAGAAACAAAACAATTATCACCATTGTGGCAGAAAATTTAATAGATTTTACTTTCCTTCCTCTTCACCACATACAGCACCAATACTGTTTTCTTCAAACCCTGCACCATGCCTTAGATATCCAATCTTCTCCCTTCCACACCAAACTCAGCTTTAAAGATCAGAATCATTTCATAATTATTATGGAAATGAAGCTCTAACCAAGCAGTGCCTACTGTCTGGAGTATTTACATCAATATCCTCCTGATAGCACTCATGTGAAAATACAAGTGTTGGTCCTGACTTCAGTCTAAATAATGAATCTAGAGTTAAAACAATGTCCCTAACCCACTAGCTGATGCAAAAGCCATCAAAGCATACGCTGCTTGTCTTGTCTCGGACATCAACTTTGCCTCTTTTATCCAATCAGACGCCACCCTTTTTGGAGCTCCTTGAAGCTGATTCAGAAAGCGAATAGCCTGGTCCATGTCTCCTTTCTCAAGCCAGTATTCAGCATGTGCTAGAATTGCAAACGTGTCAAATTTATCCAAGTCAATTTCGTCATCAAGAGACTTAGCATAAACAGCGTTAAATATGAAGAAGGACTGAATGTAAGAAAGGAAATATTTGAACAAGGTTCCTCCTGTTTCATCAACCATGGCGACTCTCTTGCAGATCCGTTTCACTTTTGGGAATCTCTCCTTCAAACTCTCCTCTGTCCACACTCCTCGTATCAGCGCCTCCTCAGGAATTGTACGAATGACTGTTTCTACAAATGGATGCTGACCTGATGCATCTGAAATTGTTGCAATCTCATTGGCTAATGGTTTTATCTTGTCTTCCCATTCTACCCCCTCTTCTCGACCAAGACGGACTGCCCCATTGAGGGCAATGCAGGCCAACCATAGCTCTTGTGCATTTCGGGCAATCTTCTCAGCCTCGGCTCGACCTGAAACAATAATCATTAATTAAATCCATATATAATTTCAGATTACATAAAATGTTGGCAACTGGAAAAAAGTCTAAAAACAATCATGAACTTTGAACCCACCACACTCTGCTTGCATAACAATAAAAATGTAATTTTTTTAATAACATTGATATTTTATACTTATCCTGACTCATGCTTATTATGCTTGCTCCTTCCTCTATGCGAATGATAGTGGAACACTTGAATCCCTTGTAGTTCCCTAAACAGGACGTAAAAGTAACTCACAGTTCGAAACCATATACAGCAAAATTTGCATGAAAGGATCTAAAATAAAAAGGATATAGTGCCATATTGGGACTCCTGTGCACCACCAACCATCCACAAGGGCGACCAAGGAGAGAGTGACAAGCATGGTTGGTCATGTGACTGCCTTTGGCGGGAAAAGGTATGCAAGGGAGGCAACTCGTGGGTGAGTTACTTTTAGGGAACTACAAGGGATTCAAGTGTTCCACTATCACTGTACCTAAGGTGATGCTGGTAACGCACGTTACCAACATGGCGGCAGGTAAGATTGCTTGGCGATTATTCCCTCGAATTAGCAGTCTTCCACGTGTATACAATCAACATTATTTAGCACACTGATAAACTTCGATGGTGGAAATACATTGAATGCACTGAATTTGCTTATTAATGCCTGTGTGTTGAAGAATAAGCATTTTTAAAATCGCGCGAGGATGTCGGTAACTCAAAGTCTGGATGTCGGTAACGTGCAATGAATGATGCTGGTAACGCATTCTGTCTTGCTTTAGTCGGTAAACAGAAATTGTCGAGTTATGTTTAGATACAAAGGAGATACAAATATCCGTTCTTATGTTTTACACAGATGTGTACCTGCCGCCATGTTGGGATGCTGGTAATGTGCGTTACCAGCATCACCTTAGGTACAGTGACTATCATTCGCATAGAGGAAGGAGCAAGCATAATATGAAGCATAATAAGCATGAGTCAAATATCATGAATATAATATATATTTTACTACCTTCTACGAACTGAACACATCTACCTGGAAACACACCATTAACAGTAGTCTATCCTGATACACGCAACCCATCTCTGCTACTCACACCATTTGACATCAAAAGGAATCTTGATGACCTTCAGGTGTGCAATCTATTTCTAACATACACAAAAGTCTCACCATTAACAGGAGTCTCTACCTTGAGGGGTGCAATCTATCTACTACACACAAAACTCGCCATCAACAGGAGTCTCTACCTTGAGGGGTGCAATCTATCTACTACAAACAAAACTCACCATCAACAGGAGTCTCTACCTTGAGGGGTGCAATCTATCTACTACACACAAAACTCACCATCAACAGGAGTCTCTACCTTGAGGGGTGCAATCTATCTACTACACACAAAACTCACCATTAACAGGAGTCTCTACCTTGAGGGGTGCAATCTATCTACTACACACAAAACTCACCATCAACAGCTGCCTCAATGCCCTTGAGACGTGCAATCCATCCAGCCACCTCTGTCTGGAAGGTCTGTCGTTCCTCCAGGGTGCGAGTGTGCATCTCCCGCTCAAACTGTTTGTCTAACTCTTCCTGCTGCACCTTCAACACATCCTTCAGGTGGTCGCTGTGGGCGGCAGCTTGCCTGGCTAACTGCTGACGAAGTTCCTGCTCAAACTCCACACGAGCCTCAGATGCCTGGAAATAATCAAAGTTCGACTAACACCACTTGAAACAATGGTGCGTTACATTAACGCTGGAGAAAAGTCCCAACTCATGCAGCAGTACCTGATCCACTAGATGAGTACCATATTCCCCATTTGAAGTGGCCTCCTCTAGTACCCTACCCTCCAACTTCCATGGCAATCTCAAGGTAATATTTGAGGTGAGGTGACATTGGGTTTAACATCGTGCTTGAGAATATTTCACTCATATGTCGACGTGCATGCGTGTATGCGTATGTGCGGCTGCTTGTACTAGCCCAGACTTAAGCTGGTTTTATAGTGACTAGCCCACTGAAGCATGAATACCCCACTCAGACACATTATACTGACTCTGAGCTGACCAGCCCTTGATGTACCCATTTATGCCGAGAGCCAGGCAGGGACCAACAAGTACCATATTTTAATGTCTTTTGGTATGACGAGGTCGGGGATCGAATCCGCGACCTTCCGCTCTCCGGGCGGATGCTCTAACCATTACACCACGGAGGCGGTCAGGTAATATTTGAAGCACCCCATACCAAGATAGTAATGTTTTACATAACAGTCCACATTTTGAATACATGACACATATTTCTGGATAACAACTTTATATTCTTTATCGACGTTTCAAAGCTAATTCTTGCTCCTTCATCAGGTGAATTAGCTTCATCAGGTGAACAACGATCTTCGTCACGGTACTTACCCATTTTTCCTTTTCTACGCTGAAGTCCGCATTCATCTTCTCTGACTCTATCTTGACACGCAGTGCGGCCAGCTTCTCATCTTCCTTCACCTGCTGCTCCAGAGCCTTGTCGATGTGCTGCGACTCCAGGGCCAGCTGTTCCGCCAGCTGTTTCTGCAGCTGTTCTATACGGCGGTGGGCGTGGGCGATCAGGGAGTTCAGTTCCTCCTCTGTCAGCTTCTTACCTGACAGTCCAAAACAATGTGTAAACAGTTTGGTCGAAGAATTCTTGGTGTTGCAGAGCCACAGTATGGAACAGACTATTAACTCTCTTAAGGAAAGTTCAAACTCTGGATTCTTTATGATCTATGCTCAAAACCTAACTATTCAATCTTTCTCACTCATCTTAGTTTTAACAGAGTTTCCCAGTAAACAAGCATCAACAGATTGATTACAGTGCATTATATCTGATGATGATGATGATTTTACATCACATCGGCAACATTACAGCCATATGGCAATTAATAATGATGATGATGATCGGACACACACCATAAAGCTGCATACGTGCAGCGTAAAACAATATTCACTCTGACACTTGTTTCTATTCTTGACCTACCTTTCTTGTCCCCTAGTTTCACATCAGGCATGATGCTCTCCAGTTCCTTCTGGAACTGCTTCCTTCCTTTGTCCACCAGGTCCTTGTAACGTGACATCACCTTCGCCTCAGACTCCGCCTTTGAAACCTAAACAAACACAGCACGCAGTTCATCACTTTCTTCTGGTACATACACACTTTTTCAGATATGGTCACACATTATTCGCGTACCCAAGCAGTGAACACATCCTTTTACCCAGATATTTGTAGGTCATTATCCCATATATATCCCAGTCATTATTCCAGATATAACCCAGGCACGATCTCATTTGTATCCTAGTCATGTGTATCCTAGTCTTGTGGGTATCCCAGTCATTATCCCATACCGATCCCATTCCATACATAGAGGATATCCTATACCTACCCCATTCCGTGTATATACCAATTTTATTAAACAAGTATAAAGATTTGGTATCAAACACGATCCCATTCCATTGCTCATTTGATACCAAATTTTTAAGCGAGTTTAATCAAAAGTGGTAAATTTTTCATGAGTTTAAAAAAGTGGTATTTCATGGAAGCGAGTTTAATATTCTGTTTATTACTCTCCAACATAAATTCATAGAAACTGCCTACAGTGTGAAGACTCTCATACCAATTTTTTGTGAGTCAAGCAAGGTCTTATGCCATTGTGACAGAGGCATTAGCATTGTGACGTCTTAACTGTAGCCATTATCACGTCATACATCTAGCAGTATTACACTAGTGTAATATTGCCGTAAAAATATTACACTGCAGTATCTTCCATGGGCGAGTAATAAATAACGCAGGCACAATCTTGTATGTATCCCAGTCTTTATCCCATATATATCCCATTCCTCCACTAACTCACCTGGGAAGAAGCCTGACTTAGCTCTGCCTGATGCTTGTTGAGATATTCCTGTGCCGAGATCAGAGCCTTGTTCCTCTTTGTGACCACATTCTGTTTACCATCGGCAATAGCAGCACGTAATTTCTCCAAGTTTTGTCTGTCGGAGGTAATATTCCCAGGTACAATTATACCAGATTGTTCCATATGTACACATACTAAAAGACACACATATATTCGCTGTTACAACAATTATGCCAAGATTCTCAGATTGGGCTGATTGCTTGCAAATACAGTTAGTCATTTTCATAGAAAAAACTCTGCAAACATAGTGTGCATGACATCCTCTGCCCTTCAAGGACATCTTTTAGAACTATGTCGATGTTTCATCTTAGAGACATGTTCTGTTAAATGAAGAAGATCCCAGCTGCGTGATGACACCATTGAGGATTGTTTGTTCAATTGTTTAAGTCTTAACCACAAAATTCAAATTTGATAAGATAACGTAGATATCGGGATGACAGTGGAGGGGTGGAAATAACCCATTGCCCGACGCCCGAGTCCTGTGTTTTTTTCTGTCGGGCAAGCAAATTTGTATATCACACTGTACCGGTGTCCAGTTGACTTTCCAATATTAATTATGTTGTTTATTTAAAAAATCAACAAGAAAACGGCCGATATAGTGGAAAAATTATCAGGGCAAGAGATTTTACATGTGCCACTGTACCGGAGTACACTAGCAATTTTAAAGTTATTTCCACCCCTGCAGTGCAGGTAAACATTTTAATGGGATTATTTCTCAGTGGCATTCAGAAGCTCTGGCTGACATGTATTTTAACTCTTGATTCTTCTAATGTGAAGTTCGTATATTTTGTTTAATGTTATACTCAGCAACATTCCAGCTATTTGACAGTGTTCTGTAAAAAAGTATGGAACAGATCACTCAGTGATTGACATAAAGAGCATCGCCCTGCTCAACTGGGATCACATGCATCAAACATGTGAATGTGTCTGACTAACTGAACCTGTTGATAAGCATGGGTTACTGTATATAAGCAGAGAGAAGCTTAACAAAGACACATCAGGAAATGCTTCTCTTCTTAATGTAAGCATTGAACAAGCTGCAACTGACTGTCAAAGGCTCATGGGAAACTATCGCACTCTACCTGGATGATTCGACAATTTTCTTGGATTCCTTGAAAGTATCTTCCCCGATTCTCAAAGGCTGTTGATACATCCTGCCACTGACTGTCTTTCTGTAGTATCTGTCGGAACACAAACACTCAATTACTGCCATGTTTCCATTCTATCATGGAAGGCTAAATAATGACTGACTGACTGACTGACTGACTGAATTTGGTTTTACGCCGATTTTAGCAATATTCCAGCAACATCACGGCGGGGGACACCAGAAATGGGCTTCACACATTGTACCCATGTGGGGATTCGAACCCGGGTCTTCGGCGTGACGAGCCAACGCTTTAACCACTTGGCTACCCCACCGCCCCCTAAATAATGAACAAAATATATTCTTAGGTCATACTTAGGAACACTCTATACAGGCCTTTTTAAGTGAGTGAGTGAGTGAGTGAGTTTAGTTTACGCCGCACTCAGCAAACGTCCAGCTATATGGTGGCGGTCTGTAAATAATCGAGTCTGGACCAGACAATCCAGTGATCAACAGCATGAGCATCGATCTACGCAATTGGGAACCGATGACATGTGTTAACCAAGTCAGCGAGCCTGACCACCCGATCCCGTTAGTCGCCTCTTACAACAAGCATAGTCGCCTTGTACGGCAAGCATGGGTTGCTGAAGACCTATTCTACCCTGGATCTTCACGGGCCACAGGCCTTTTTAAGGGTCTTACACCACAACATGTACCAATACATCTCTCACCCCCCTGATTGATATTATGAGCAATGACCTGTGTCATAAGTATATGATGACACCCACTTGAGTGAGTTTTGTTTTATGACACTTTTAGCAATATTCCTACAATATCATGGTGGGAGACACCAGAAAAGGACATCATACACTGTTCCCATTCAGGTAATCAAACCCGTGTCTTCAATGTGATAAGTGAAAACTTTATCCACAAAACTACCTCTCCACCCCGACAACCATGAAACCAAGTCAAAGCTCCTGTCCACTTGAACCATATTGTCACCTACACCAAATATGGGCTGCTGGGAGTCTGTTTAATACCAGAATACTAACGAGGTTTATAGCTAAGTAAGGATTCCTGTTCCGTCCCCACAATACACCATCAGTGTGCATTACTCTGTATGATTCCTCACCTCCTTCGAGTCATCCATAGCCTTCCTGAGGAGCTGTGTGTGCTTCTTTGTGGTGTCAACAACTCTCTTCTGGACATCAATGGCCTGTTTTACCAGCTCACTTGTGGATTCTGACAAGTTCTCTAGAATCACCTCCAGGGCTGTGAATGAATGAATGAATGAAAATGAATAAATGAATGAATGAATGAATGAATGTTTTCATTTGGGCAATGAATGAATGAATGAATGCTCAAAATGAATAAATGATAATAAATAGAGTTAGCTATTTATCACTTTTCAATAAATAGTCCAGTAAACATTAACATCAAATACCATGTTGCATCATTGATTATGTCATAAAATCAGGGCAAGTGGAAAATTGTTACTTCTTAAAGTCACTTGACCCATGAATTGTCAGTACTTCATTGCCTTGTACACACAATGTTCCTTCATGACCCATGGATTCACGTGGCCTTTAGAAGACAGATTCAGATTCAACTATTCTCACTATTCTAAAATTTACCTTGTTTCTCACTTATTTAATACATTGACATCCGGCAAAATACATGGAGGCCTGTCTACTCTGATCTGAACAACTGCCATGTTCTATGAAGAACTATCAGCACCAGTGCCAGTCTGCCTACCTGCATTTTGGGCTGCTTCGTCAGCTTCTTTTTCTTTCAATCGCCTTTCAGTCTCTCTTTTCTGTCGTTCCTTCTCCACGGCTGGATCTACCTTCTCTGCAACAGTGGAGGAGGGGAAGAATGATGAAAGAGGGTTCAAAATTGCCTACAACGAGCAAGCGAGTTTGGTTTTACGCCGCTTTTAGCAATATTGCAGCAACATCACGGTGGGGGACACCAGAAATGGGCTTCACACATTGTACCCATGTGGGGAATCGAACCGGTGTCTTCGGCGTGACGAGCCAACGCTTTACCCAGTTGGCTACCCCACCGCCCCAAAATTGCCTACAAGAATACTGCACTTATTGCATACCATTGTGTGTGTCTGTGTATGCATGTGTGTGCACATGAGTGCTAGTTGGTACATATGATAGTGCTTGTCAAATAAGATACCATTCCAAAGTTGAACATGGATATCCCACTCTGACACAGTACACAACAGCATGCCAACAAATGCTTGTTTATCTGCGCCATGCAAGCGTCAGGATTTTAATGTCTTTTGGCATGACAGAGTGAGGACAAAAAAAGAGATGCCCTATCCATTACACCATGGAAGCAAGTTGGATACAGACAGTAAAATACTTGTAAATTAAAATAGCAGCCACAAAATCATCATCATTTAGGAACAAGTCACGAAGTGTTTCACTTTGGTTTGAGTCAGTTTTCTGAAGAATCACACGTCCGAAACACTGGAAATTAAACAGAACAGGTACACTGAGTTCTAACCTTCTTTCTTTGGGGCAGGTTTAGGTGCTGACTGGGAGGCGGGAGTTGGCTTCTGTGAAAGACAAAGTATCTGTACAGTCTCTCTTTGTACATCAATGGCAACATAACCTGATAATGTTGGAGCATATACCTCCAATCTTCTACAGTCAACAAACTTACAAAGCCTTCATAACTTTCAATGATACACTCATAAGTCCCAAATGTTCTAATTCTCAATAAATCCATTTACAAAACAATTACAACATTACTGCTATTTGTAGATTTCTTCATCTATGTAATTATTACCAAGATTACCAACACTGATTTACCTGAGGTGGCTTTGTTACTGCTGAATCTAGGGGTTTCACTTCCATACTGGGACTGCAAGAAATAGTGATTCAAAACATGTTACTTCAAAAGATTTTTAAAATGCTATAATAAAATAATAAGACCTGTTTTGATACTGAACATGCTCAAGTGGAATACCACAAGTTTCTAATGATACTTTTGCCAAGTTTACTGACAATTTTCACATTGCTATAGTCTCCATGAATGAAGACTAGCAAGTGAATTGTGTGCACATAAGCTGAAAGTAAACGTTATCCAATTCGTCTTGATAAATTTTATGTCCAGAGTAACAACAATCAAAAACAATATAGTTAATATTATTAGGTTCTACTTACTGTAAAGGCAAAGTGTATTGTTTATCATCATACACAAAATTATTCCAGCTATATGACAGCAGTCAGTAAATAATCAAGTGTGGACTTGACAATCCAGTGATTAACATCATGAGCACTGATCCACAAAATCAGGTTACAATGACATGCTGTATACCAAGTCTGTGAGTCTGAGCACCTGATCTGTTAAGTCATCTCTTCAAAAAGGGAGGACTAATATTCTGAGCTGGAATCCCAAAAGGGAGACAACCATAGGCTGCTGGGGACATATTTTTTACCAGGAATCCCCCAAGGTACCAAGAACTTGGTCAGAGTACAAGGATTAATATGATCACATAGAAGCACAATCAATCAAGGTAGTAGGTTATCATTGGATATGAGGCACTGTTTGTACTTAACCTGTTTGATGAAATACCTAACATGTGCACTTACACTGGAGCTTCAACTGGTTTGAAGGATGCTGCATCAGGGAGGTAAGGAAAGATATAGCCGAAGGCATCCTTGGAGTAGGGGACATTGTCCTCCAGGGTCTTCTTGAAGCTTGGATCATACCAAGCATATCCCACAACACCGCCCGTTGTCAGTGTGGTGAGACCCAGGAGCTTGAAGAATACTCCACCTCCACTGCAAACAAGAAGATTTTGATTTATTTGTTTGTTGTTTAACACCACACTCAGCAATATACCAGCTATATGGCGGCAGTCTGTAAATAATAGAGTCTGGACCAGAGAATCCATGATCAACGACATGAGCATCTATCTACGCAATTGGGATACGATGACATGGCATCCAAGTCAGTGAGCCTGACCACCCGATCCCAATAAGTCACATCTTACGACAAGCATGGGTTACTGAAGACCAATTCTAACCCAGGTCTTCACAGGTGAGTGGATGACAGTTCATAATTGAGTCTGTACAAGACAATCCGGTGATTGACATCATGAGCATCGATCTATGCGTTTGAGATACAATGACGTGTCAACCAAGTCAGCAAGCATGACCATCTAACCCCATTAGTCACCTCTTAAAACAAGCATGGGTTGCTGAAGACCTGGTTCTTCAGGTGTTTCAAACAAGATGAAACAGATTATGTAAATCTGAGGAAGTGAACCACAATAATAGTGATAAAAATTTACCAAGTTTTTGAGGATTGCAGGATTTACATTACATTAAGGGGTGTTCACATCCACCCAGTGTTGAAATAATTAGATGGAGGGTTTTGTGTCCAGGCCAATTGCTTTCAAAGGAGACATAGCCATGGCATTTTGGCGAGTCTGATACTTTTCATGTCACACTGAACCAACTCTGATTAAATTTTGTGGTGTTTCATTGTTGATAAAACATTGCTTGACGTAACAATATCAGTGGTTAATCAATGAAGAAAGACCTCAAAATTCAAAAACAGAACAAGTCTATCTCCATTCTCTCATGGTGGCGGTGGGGTAGCCTTGTGGTTTAAGTGTTTGCTTCTCACGCCAAAGACCCGGGTTCGATTCCCGACATGGGTACAATGTGTGAAGACCATTTTTGGTGTTCCCATAATATTTCTAGAATATTGCTCAAAGCTGTGTAAACTAAACTCACTCACTCACTTTTGCTCTCACAGAATAACACTCTGCATGAAGGTCTAAGGACACCTCCATCATGGGAGGTCATGTCAGGTGAACTTTACCTGCATCCAATCAGTGTTAACGCTACTAACTTGCTGCCTGTTATAGTGAAGCATTTAAACAAGCATATCTGATTTTCATAGCTTGGAAACAAATTAAACAGACAGTTTCTACCCATTGTACCCATGTGGAGAATCAAACAAAGGTCCTCGGCTGGACAAGCAAACGTGTTAACTACGCTATACCACTGCCCCTTGAGAGCAATAAATAAGATTTGAACGAGATTTGCAGAGAGTACTAAGTAGGCAGGGTGGTTGTGAGTATGTTGTGAACTCTTCACCTGCTTGGTTCTGCAGGAGGTGGGGGTGGGGGAGTGGGCTGTGCTCCTCCCCCATTAGCCTGTTGATTCTTGGTGTTGCTGAAGAACCTGCGACACTTGGCACACTGGAAGAAAATCAGTGTTGTGTGAACGAAACAGACATTTTGTATTTTCACTGGAAGTTGATATGTATGAAAAGTAATGCTTAGTGATGACAAAGCCAAATAATTAGGTGTTAGCAAGAATTTGATTGGTTATCTGGTTGCTCTCACATATCAGCATAAAACTAATACTTTGGAAAACAAAACATTGCAATGTTTGTTGACATACTAGGTGTCACATGATAATTATATTCCAAGTTTATTCGTTGGTTTCACATTTCTTTTCAACTCGCTGTGCGCATGGCGTGTGAAAAACATCCACTGACATGCTTCCGGTTTGGTCGTATGTTCATCAATAGTGGAAATGCACTCTAAATAAAAGCTGTTATGAAAATTATTTACGTTGTGACAACTGTTCATAGATGAGTACATACTTCCATTTGCCTATGCTTTTCAATAACTGATGTCCTATTTTGGTTTGCAATTCCATCAGAGAAGAGAAGGGGGTGTGCAGGAAGGATGGTGGTGGTGAGATGTCTTTATACAAGAGCTTGTTAACTTAACTTAAGCTATTTATTTAACTAATCCCGGCTCTGTTTCATAAATCAATTGGGATCAGTTGTATTTGACATAAAACTATATATTTGCTTTGATTTTTGTTTTCTTTGGGGCGTTTACACTATCGATAAACATAAGCATGCGCACAGCGAGTTGAAAAGAAATGTGAAACCAACGAATGGCAAGTGTCCTGTAATCAGGGGATAATGAAATTTCCAGCGACATTTGTTGACGCCTTAAACATGTTAAAACCAATGGTTGCATCAGTGTCCTGGTAACAGTCTGTGACTTCAGCCAGCAGTTTGACACCCTAGTGCAGTAAATGCCTGTTCGGTCTAAATAACCTAATTGCAGTCCTTTAAAATACATTGAAGCAACTGAAAATAATACCAAAAGCAAAGGTATGATGAAAGTAGATGAACCGTTTTGGCTCGTTTTCGACAAAGTGAGCTTTTCGTAGATGGAATCTATTATCCTCATTCCATACATTCTATAAATCGACGATGCGTTCCTATTTAAATGTCAACAGTGATGAAGGTCGCCCCACAGAACAGGAGACAATCGACCTGATAGAGATAATCTCCACAACATTTGTCTAAGGTGAAGTCAATCTCAAGGTCGGCGGTAGGTCTGACATTCTAGAATAGGACTACACATAGAGAACAAGTTATGTAGCAGCGACGAATGACAATGGATATGGATGAGTGCATACTTGTGATCTAACCGAAATCCTAGCAGACGATGCTTTCCACATTTCTGTAACTAGAAATGGTGAAAACTTGGTCCACACGTTATGCCACAGGAAGTCCCAAGCCGGTACTTCCGGACACCTGCATGATGGACTTTCATCCGGGACTTGTCTTAAAAACCGGACAAGTAAATGCGCGAGTGAACATATCCTGTCCGTTTAATGCTACTATTTGAGAAATGGATATGCTCTTTCATTTTAAAACTGATCATGTTTCTGACTTTACTTCAAGTGTCTGCATTTTGTTCTTAAATATAATGTTTCTCGTGTCTGTAACTTAACTTACTTTTCTTTGGTCGGATTCGGATATTTGTCCAACATAACAAGATGGCCGCTGCCATTAGGAATCGTGCAAACAGTAAGACGACAGCTTTTTCAAATTCACCAGAACAACACCAACCACATAATGCAATAAATACAAATGAATTGATACATTAAAAATTGTACATATTGTTTGTGTTGCAGTGATGTGGCGCTTAGGCTGGAACGCGGTTACCAAGGCTCGGCCAGCTCCTCCCAAAGCGAACATATCGACACTGTGTCAAATATTCTCAAACAATCTGAAGATATCACAGTGTAGGTCATTCAGCGCCAGTCCACTCATCTCAAACAGAATTCTAAAGATGAAAACAGAGCCTAAGATTCAGAATACACGGTTAGTAAGCATCAAGATCTTATGTTGCTTTGGCCAGTTTGGCTGATGTTTCTATTCTGATGGTCTTTGCCTATTGCTTGTTTCTGTGAAGATTGCTTTATAGATCACTCTCGTTGCTATTCTTGTACAAGGCAAGGTTCTCATCATCAGGGGGCGACGGGGTAGCCTTGTGGTTAAAGCGTTCGCTCGTCACGCCGAAGACCCGGGTTCGATTCCCCACATGGGTAAAATGTGTGAAGCCCATTTCTGGTGTCCCCCGCCGTGATATGGCTGGAATATTGCTAAAAGCAGCGTAAAACCCACTCACTCACTCACTCTCATCACCAAAGATTATTCATTCAAACTATCAAATAACAAATGGATAACAAATAGGCTGCTGTGATAGTCTGTCAAAACCTTTGGTTTTCAAGTTTTGAGATTATATATTGTGTTTCAGATGTCTTCTACAACCATCAAGTCCAACTTTAGTTGCAAAAAGAAACAAGGTCTATTACAGCAAGAGAAAAGGCAAACCAAAGACAATCAAGGCAGTTACAAATAGATTTTATAGATTGGACTGGGGTATCTGGATCCGTACACAGTCAGGGAGACATAAGAGGATATGGAAAAAGTCCCATTCTAGGAGGTATCTCTCCGACAACATTTGTTTTGTAACAGACAACAGAGTAGACTTTTAGATAAGATGACCACAGAGTACTGGCACCGACCACGATATTACGTGGACGATCCCTATGCACCCTATCAGAAGAGGACCAATTTGCAACAGTACTTTCCTGAAAAAACGTCCTTTCTATCCTTAGGTAGAGAATAAAGATGAATTCGCTAAAGGTGTGCTGTGAGAGTCTTACAACAAACACAAGAAAGTGATATTTGATTCAGATGTTGTAACAGACTTTTGTGTGATTAAAATCTGAATTTCTGTTGCTTTGTTTTCATTTTATATTGTGGGGAGAGGTGTAAATACTTTCTGAATATTCCAGACACATTATAAAATGGATGGGTGAACTTCCCTGCTTTGCCACAGTCTTATTGTTAGCAGGATTAGTTACCTGTCTTGTTTACAGATTTGTGGAAGAGGTGATGAGAAATGGAAAAGAAACCAGTGGGAAAGAAGAAGTCTCAAATGAAGTTAATGATTTAAGGAAGTGTGATAAATGAAATTGACAGAACATGTCCACCTTAATGTCCACAGATTCCAACTGCTTTGGAATCCAAATATTTGTGAAACAAAATATATGCTGCTTTAAATTCAGGATTAACTTGGAAATACAGAGAGTTTCAGTTGCCAACAGTGGAGTGTGCCCCAAAGTAATGTGCCCAATATACAACATCAAAGGACAGGTATAATGTGACTGTGGTGTTATGTCACAAGCCTCTGTTGATATCAGGTGATATGAAGTTTTGGCCTTAAGCTGATCTGACTTGAGAGGACCCTACTTTCCTCCCATGCATTTAACATCATTCTGCCATCAAGATTGAGCGAGTGAGTATGGTTTTTGGCTGCTGTTAGCAATATTCCAGGAACATCGCGGCAGGGAACACCAGAAATGTGCTTCACACATTGTACCTATGTGGAGAATCGAACCCAGACCTTGGGCGTGATAAGCAAACACTTTAACCACTAGGCTAACTCTGCCATCAAGAATAATCAGTTGGAATGTGTTTGGGGCTGATGCCCATGTTATTGGAAAATGTAGATTAAACACATATGAATTATTCACAAGATATCTGATGTTTCCAAATGTTTCTGATCAGACACAAGAACTTAAATGGTATTCCTTAAGAAACAGTTCATTTATGTTTTAGTGTCAAATTTCACCTGAATTGATTTGAAATTGTGAGCTTCAGTACCTATGGTACTCTGATTTCAGATTCTCTGGCCTTTTGAACACGAGTTCATAGATGTTTTTACAAATATCACAGTACAGGACCCTCTAACATACTCAAACGCTCAAGATCTATACACCTATAACTATAACAGTCACTTTGTGTGGCTACGGTTAAGAGTCAGTGAGTATAGCTTTATGCCGCTTTCAGCAATATTCCAACAATATCACTGCGGGGGACACCAGAATTGGGCTTCACACATTGTGCCCATGTGGGGAAAAGAACCCCGGTCTCTGGGGTGACAAGCGAACGCCTTAACCACTATCCTACCCCACCGCCCCATTTAGGCAGGAGGGATTAAAAAGTCAATTATAATTTTGCTGTAAATATCAAGATTATATGTTACTGAAAACAAATATTTATGGTTGCTGAATGTTTCCTTTTTATATAAAATGGGTTGATTTGTGAAACATGTAAATAATATTGGTCTAACCTGGGTGAAGATAGAACGTTAAGGCTTCAGTTCGGTGTAGTAAAACAACTATGACTGTCATGTTCAATGCATCATGTGGAGTGAGACAAGGTTGTATATTGTCACCAGTATTATTTATAATGTATATTGATGAACTTGTGAATGAAATAATGAAATCTGACGACAGTGGCATATTTATTGATGAATCGCTAAAAACATTATCAATATTGCTTTTTGCTGATGATGTAGCTATATTTGCAGATTCTGTTATCAATCTCCAAAAGAAAATAGATATTTTGGTAAGATACTGTCAGAAATGGGGATTAACTATAAACAAGAATAAAACCAAAGTTGTTGTTTTTAAGAAGGGGGCTTTTATCGAAATATGAAAATGGTTTATTAATGGACAGTCCATTGAAACTACATCTTATTATAGGTATCTTGGTATTGTATTCTCCTGCAGAAACATGTTTTTAAAAGCATGTGAGACACTTTCCCAACAAGCAGAAAAGGCACTCTACCCAATTAAACGTTTTATCAGCACAATACAAAATCTGCCAATTGAGGCAGCATTCAAGCTGTTTGATGGCAAGATTAAGCCTATACTTTTATATGGGGCTGAGCTTTGGGGATGGGAAAAACGTAAACAAATTGAAAAGGTTCATTCAAGTTTTTGTAAATATGTATTACAGATTGGTTCTAGGGCATCAAGTAAAGCCGCACTGGCAGAATGCGGTCGTTATCCTATTGAAATATATGCCTATATTAGCCTTCTGTCGTTTTGGATGAGGATTTTACGGCAACCGCCATACAGATATACAAAGAAATGTTATGAAATGTTAAAAAGACTAGATGATAATGGGGATGAGAACTGGGTATCAAAAGTGAGAATGTTATTATTTAGATACGGTGTCGGTTATGTATGGATAGCACAAGATGTTGGTAACGAGAAATGTTTTCTGGAGAATTTTAAACAGCGTTGCAAAGATATTTATTATCAAGAGTGGCATCAATATATAGCTTTTTCCGAATCCTTGACCTTCTATTCAACCATAAATACTGACTATTTTCTTGAAAAATATCTTGTAACTATTACTTCAAAAGATTTACGGAGATGTTTGACAAAACTTCGTTGTAATGTACATGATTTTAATGTTAATTCGTGTAGATACTCTAAAAACTATGAAACTGCGTTTTGTAGTTCCTGTGTGAATGGACTAGAAGATGAATTTCATACTTCATTAGTATGTCCTCTTTATAATGAGTATCGTGCTAAATATTTACCTGAATACTTCGTAATTACCCTCATGTCCAAATGTTTATTGATTGATGAGAACAAGCGATAAGAATAGACTATTAAGACTTTGTATCTTTCTTAAAAAAGTGTTTGTATTTCGATCGAAACAAAAATCTCTGAACACATAATCGTATCAATTGTAATAAGATCTACATTCTCAGTGTGGCGCATATGCATGTCTTTACCTTACTGTTTTACACATGTTGTACTGTTGGCCTCATGGCCATATATACGTAATAAAGGATGATGATGGATGATGATACAACGTAAATATGTAATCAGAAGGTAATGGTGTGGTCTACTTGGTAAATAGACATATACAACAAAAAAGTCCAAAACAAACAGATGCGCCATGAGAAGAGGACATATATTACTATATGCTAAGTAAAGACTAAGAGTAAGTGAGTTTAGTTTTCCGTCGCTTTTAGCAATATTCCAGCAATATCACGGTGGGGGCACCAAAAATTGCCAACACATTGTACCCATGTGGAGATTAGAACCTTTAACCACTAGGCTACCCCCGGCCTCTTTGAAACAAAGCATTTGAAATCAGCCACCTGATCGGTGTAGTGACTGACGTTTGATCTACATTTCATCTAGAGAGAAAGGTGTTAATTTGGAATGTTATAAATAGGAGGTCTCACTGATGTTGTTATGACTACAAGAGATTAAATTGGAGTGAAATATGTGAAATACAACTTAATGTATACGATATACATATAGAGTGATAATGTGTTATTTGTGAAAGTTCTAAAAAATACGTATTTTCTGAAAATGACCTAGTTCAACAAAAAGGACGTACAAACTGCTATAAACAGCTGTGGCCGGGCGTAGCTAACGTCAGGCACGTTCACACTACGTCGGGCTTAGCAGCGCCTTGCTCTTAAACACGTCATGAACAACGTCGGTTAAGCCTAGGTGTTAGTACACGTTCCGAAAATAGTGCACAAAATGACACAGGGGGTATGTATGCCTTGTTTAACAACAATCTAGGTGAGGTGAAATTGGGTTTAACGTCGTGCTTGAGAATATTTCGCTCATATGACGACGTGCATGCGTGTGTATGTGTATGTGCGGCAGCTTGTACTAGGCCAGACTTAAGCTGGTTTTATAGTGCTAGCCCACTGAGATACCACGCCGCAGTGAAGCATGAATACCCCACTCAGACACATTATACTAACTCCGAGCCGACCAGTCCTTGTTGTACCCATTAATGCCGAGCGCCAGGCAGGGACCAACAAGTACCATATTTTAACGTCTTTTGGTATGACGCGGTCGGGGATCGAACCCGCGACCTTCCGCTCTCCGGGCAGACGCTCTAACCACTACACCACGGAAGCAGTCAACAGCAATCTAGAGCCCAAGGGGGAGCCAAACCCACCTCCATGGCAAGAACATTCGTCTTCCCTCGTGTTTGCATAATGAGGTTAATGATGAAATGCGAAGACAAGAAATAAACAAACAACACCATTTAGATTGAAAAGGCTCTTCTGTGAGATGTGACATTCAGAAAACCTCTGCATTGGACTACACGTGCTGGTGGTAATTTTCAATTTACATTCACATTTTATTACCATCATAGTCCAGACTCGATTATTTACAGACCGCCGCCATATAGCTGGAATATTGCTGAGTGTGGCGTAAAACTAAACTCACTCACTCACTATTACCATCATATAAAGGTTTAAGTGACAGGTATATTTATTTGCCTTCTTGCCAAGATCTGCCCTCTCTCTGTGCTGTCAGGGATTCTGCTGTCCTCACCTCGTGAAGCTCAGTCCAGCACTCTATTTCCTACAGACATATTTTGAAACTTATTTTTTTACAATAATATTTGGAAGTTAGCTCGCTAAATAGTATATGTATAATGTATTGTCTTTGCTGAAAAAAAACAATTTCAATGAAAGACAGGCACATATCTCATACTTGAAGAGGTGGGATAGTCTAGTGGTTAAAGCTTTCGTTCGTCACGCTGAACATCCGGGTTCGATTCCCAACATGGATCCGTGAGCCACAAAAAAAGGAACGCTATGATCCATTTTAAGAATAATTTATTGCGTTAGTTTAAGAGCAATTATTTAATGTAATTTCAAAGGTAAAAACTTCACACGTCTATAGACAAAGAGTTCGCCAACGCAACAGCAGACTTTATTGTTGTGTTTCTGTTTACTGGAGTCCACAATCTGGCGTCAAAGCCAGTATTTTGTCTGGCCACCATTGGCTGCAATTACTGCTCGGCACCGTCTAGGCACCGACTGCGGATAAGACGACGTAGTCGCTTTTGCGGAATTCTTCCCCACTCTCCCTGCAATGCGATGGCAGGTTGTGGAAGTGTCTGAGGCTTGTTTTGACGTTGACGTTGACATACACGTCGATCGAGTTCGTCCCATAGGCGTTGTATCGGGTTTAGATCTGGTGATCGGGAATGCCATGGCAAGACATTGGCGTTAGAATTGGCAAGGTAGCGGGTCGTGACGTCTGCTGTATGTGAAGCAGCGTTGTCATGCTGGAACAACTCCCCAACAGGACTTCGTTGATGTACCGATTTTCTGTCTAATTCCCCCTGAACTACCACTAAATCAGATCTGTTGGATATCGCAACCCACAGCATGACACCTACTCTGCCGAATCTGTCGACCTGTCGAATGCAATTAGAGACAAAAGGTTCATTTCTCCGACGGTGAACACGCTGTCTTCCATCTCGCCGGTGAAAAAGAAATCGTGACTCATCACTGAACCAGACTCACCTCCAGTTTCTAAGGTTCCAGTTCCGGACTATACGACACAACCGTAAGCGAGTGCGCCGAAGGAACTCTCTCAAAACAGGCTCGACAACTGGCCTTCTTTGTCGAATCCCCACTTCACCAATCGATTCCTGACAGTTTGGTCAGAAATTGTTCTCAAACCAGGGATGCGTTGTGCAGTCTCCATGGCTGTGGCAAGACGATAACGTAAGTGAGCAGCCCGGATGTAGCGGTCCTGGGCTTGGGTGGTAACGCTTGTACGGCCGCTTCTCGGGCGATCTTGGTCTGCAGGAAACGATCCTTAAGGCGAGGTATGGTGCTCCTATGAACGTTGAAATGTCAGGCAACTGCAGACTGCGACCCCCCAGCTTCATTCGGCTTATGGCGATGTTTCGATTGGCTGCGGGGCGGCTGGGTAGCCTAGTGGTTAAAGCGTTTGCTCGTCACGCCGAAGACCCGGGTTCGATTCCCCACATGGGCACAATGTGTTAAGCCCATTTCTGGTGTCCCCCGCCGTGATATTGCTGGAATATTGCTAAAAGCGGCGTAAAACTAAACTCAGTCAGTCGATTGGCTGCACTCAGTCGTGGGTGGCATGATGATTTCCTCTTTTCCAAAACCGAAAAACAAAATCAAGCACAACGTTTGCATTTTAATAGTGATGTTTTTCCGCTTAATTGCACGTGCATTTTGATTTGTATGTTTTCTTGGTGACGTTTTGGCGAACATTTCTTCAGTCGCTTCTAAAACAAGGGAAATATTTAAAATTGTCGCGTTTTGCCGCTGAAGCTGTTTACAGTCACACAAAGATGACGTTTTGGAAAGAAATAGTATATTCATATTGTTTTTGCCTCAGCTACAGGAGTCCAATATTCTCAAAATCACATATGCGTTTCTTTTTTTGAAGAGTGTATCTTATCCTTACTTCCTGCCATATTGTCACTTCAAACAGATATAGCAAGACTTGGCTACTGAAGATTACAGACTGTGTCCATGGCCTCATATACCTTTCAAACACATGGTGCACGACTATGCCCTTGGATCAACCTGTGTTTGTTAATTAAAGAGATGACAGATGCAAATGTTACAATGGATATCTGGCCAAGATGTTGGTCCAGCCAGCCATCACAGTTTGATATGCTTACACTGAAACCCGACCCCTGAAATGAGTTAGCTTTTTTTACAGATAACAGACCCTGAACCCGAAAAACAATCCAGATTTGCCTCATTTAAGAAGTTTACATTACAGGCAGTGCTGGGTTGAGTGAGTGAGTGAGTTCAGTTTTACGCCTAACTCGGCAATATTCCAGCTATATGGCGGCGGTCTGTAAATAATCGAGTCTCGACCAGACAATCCAGTGATCAACAGCATGAACATCGATCTGCGCAATTGGGAACCGATGACATGTGTCAACCAAGTCAGCGAACCTGACCACCCTATCCCCTTTGTCGCCTCTTACGACAAGCATAGTTGCCTTTTGTGGCAAGCATGGGTTGCTGAAGACCTATTCTACCCTGGATCTTCACGGGTCGTGCTGGGTTGAAGGGTGAATATAGCCGTTAAGGGGCTTTGAGACAGACTAGACCGACAATAGACAGGAGTCTAAGAGTGAGTTACCACGCCCATTGAAGACATTTATATCCGTGGACTTCATCTCCGAAACTGCTTCGTCCCCTCGACAGCGATGGCTTCGATGGCAATGCAAAATCTTGTCAGACGACAAACATTGTCACAGCAATTGAGGCAACATGGGTATCCAACGTTGACTGACGGACTGTCATAGTCTGACCTTGACGCAATGTCATGAAGCATTTAAACGTCACCGTTTCAACAGCATGTTTGAATTGATGCACACGGCGGACATGGTCAATATTGAGCCGAAGATTTATGCTTTGCAGTAATTAATAAGTTTGTTGTTAGACATGTTCAGGCAATGACAATATGTGAATAGTATCATTATGACCCCCATGTGACATTGTTACTCATACAGTGTCTGGTTCTAAGTTTTGTTCACATGATGATTGACGCCACTCTCATTAAATATACTGATGGATAAGGTAACAGTGCTTCCTATAGAGAGGTTAAAATGGTATTATACTGAAAATAACAACAAAACACAGGGTATTCTTCTGATCAGTTCGGGACACAAGTCTATCTGTGGGCCTACAGGTCCACTACAGTTTATTCAGGTGCTGGACACAAAGTGTAGCTTTGAACTCGAGGTTCCTGACTGTCCAGCTCATATACATATATCAGGTGGTCCGGTACGCGGACTTGGCAGACAGATGCTCATGTCGCCTTTATTTATACTTTTAGTTGTGGCTGCTTTAAAAAGGGTGTCTGTTACCTATACCCCTACATATACTTAAAGTGCAAAATACATCGAGTAGGTTCTTGGTTTTCACATTCCGTTGTATAATAGCACAAGTAATGTTAAACTAATCCAAGGGGTGGCGGGGTAGCCTAGTGGTATAAACACCTGTTCGTCATACTGAAAGCCCGGGTACAATAGGTAATGTCGATTCTTGGTATTCCCATCGCGATATTGCTGGAATATAGATAAAAGCGGCGTAAAACCATACTCACTCACTCATAATACCCCCATGTTCGTGTCAAGCCTTTATCATTCTCACTCATAGTTTTTATTCTTTTCACCCAAATAACATATGCCATAGATAGAAGAACACAAGTAAGTCATACCGATGCATGTTGTTCAAATTCAATGTCAGCTGTCAATTAATTTAATGCAGCAACCATGATGATGATGTTATCACGATATATGGATAAACACATTTGGTTTTGAAATTTCAGGAATTTTAAAAAGAAATGCGCATAAACAATTTTGTTTTGATAAACAATGTCATACCAGTGATAAAGATAAAAATAACTATAAAAACAGCATTTCGAGTTGTAACTTGAATCCAATCCGTAATTTTGAAGTGCACATGGATGTGAAAGTCACATTCATCCACCGTCATTCAGATTTACCTCCCTTGCATTTCCGGCTGTCGCTGTAGGGAGCTTGCTACATTTCACTAACTTCCGTTTTTCTGAACACGTGCAGTTCGGATATGTTTACTAGATTTCTGGCGTTGTGTAAACACGAACGGGTACGCTGATTACCATGGGGTACAAATTGGCTCGTGCAAAGAAAAATAAGGGGCGGACATGGAAGAAAGGCCAGAGTAGTAACAGTAATCCCGAATCGAAGAAATTCAGAGAAGCAGCAAAACACCGATTCTTCAATCCAACATCAGGTAATGTTTACACCGTAAATTACAGTTCAAGCTAAGCCTATGTCAGTGATCTCACAATAACACCATGGTGTTGCACATTCATTCTTTGTTGTACTTTTAAAAATGTAAATGGTATGTGCATTTCAGTCTCAGAAATCGCTCTTGTGTTTTCTATTAATTTCAAGTTTCACATTGTCATTTTCGTTTCCGTCGTTTAATGTTTATGTGGAACGATGCGTTACCAGTCCACAGTTTTACCTTGACTTACAAACGCTAGAGTCCAGTGGACACCCGTCACTATATTTTACGGGCCCTTGGAGGTAATTAGAGGGTCTGTAAAGTACAGGACTGGAGTTGTGTACTCTACGTTCAGATAATTACTTCAGACAGGTTGGTGAAACCTACCGATCGGCCGATATTATGCCACACTGGATATTATAGGCCGTTCTCCCTATTTTGCTATAGGCCAATCATCCTATAATTATGATATTTATCAAATAGATTTGAAGTGGTGCATTTCTGCATGAGGATATTAACATCATTCAACTTTTGATGTCCAAATCCAGGACAGACAGTATCTTTGTTTACAAAGTTGCCATATTAACATCCCAGTAAGCTCACTCACTCACTCACTCACACACTCATACACTCATACACTCATCCACTCACCACCCACTTACTCATCCACTGACTTATCTTTTTAAGGTCAAAGTTCACTGACAGTTGAAGCGCTGAGTAAACATGATGAAGAAGCTGATGATGAGAAAATGTCCGACATGGATGCCCAGACAGACACCCAGACTGTCGGTGCAAAGACATTTAATACCTGGGCAACAAACTGGACAGATTGTACAAATAAAACCTTCAGTAAAGTACAGCGGTACTGGAGCTCAAATTCAGCCGTACACAAAGAGGTTAGTGACAACCATTGACATAATGATTTTTGTGAAGGATTTAAGATCTGGTTTTGTTATTTGTCCTTCAAGAAGATGTTAACAGTCTGACAACTACTTTTACAAACTTGGTTCCAGATCATACTTCTTTCAATGTCAGAATATCAATTATGAATAACAAAACAGTAGAGATGAAAAATGGGGCTTAATATCACATTTATGCTTGTTGCATTTATGTGGAAAAATACATGCATGTGCCTAGTAATTTAAGATTTAAGTGATGGCTGTTATGCTGAAGACCCGGGTTCGATTGCTATGTGTGTACAATGTGTGAAGCCCATTTCTGGTGTCCCCCACCGTGGTAGTGCTGGAATATTGCTAAAGGCAGCGTGAAACCATACTCACACTTTGAAGGCCCCAAGTGAGCAACTGTTCCCTTTAGCTAATTCCTTAGTTTTGAGAATTTGAATCAAAGGTAATCTTACCTATTAATGTAACTTAACCTGTGATGATCCGGGTAATACTAGTAATTGGTCTTCAGTAAACCATGCTTGTCGTAAGAGGCGACTAAGAGGATCGGGTGGTCAGGCTCGCTGACTTGTTTGACTCATGTCATCGGTTCCCAATTGCTGTTGATCACTGGATTGTCTGGTACAAATTGTGTAGATTGATGGTCATGATATCTAGTCCTGACTCGATTATTTACCGATTTACTTGATCGCCTCCATATACCTGGAATATTGCAGAGTGTGGTGTTGAACAACTCACCAACCAACTATTAATGTAGCTTGATTTGACATAACTGAAGTTAGTGGCGCATGGCTGCAGGTGTTGGCGGTTTTAGCGGCTGTGACAGAGGTCATCAAACAACAGGGGGGGCAAGGAAACAGAGACAGAGTACTTTGCTGCACTGGTAAGTTGTCAGTACAGAAATAGTCATGCAGGTTGCACATTATAATCTCTTCTTTTCTCATCCAATAGACTTGTGAAGGTTTGGGTTAGAATATTGATCTTCAGTAACCCATGCTTGTTGTAAGAGGTGACCAACAGGATTGGGTGGTCGGGCTCACTGACTTGGTTGACACATGTCATCGGTTCCCAATTGCCCAAATCAATGCTCATGCTGTTGATCACTGGATTGTCTGATCCAGACTCGATTATTTACAGACCGCCGCCATATAGCTGGAATATTGCTGAGTGCAGCGTAAAACTAAACTCACTCACTCTAATCCAATATGTTGTATGGATAACCTTGTAGTAACTAGCTTTCTACTTAAAAGATCCAAAGAAGTTTATGTGCTCTACTGTGATGCTGAGTACCAGGATAGATGGTAGTCCAGGTCAAACATTATCTTTGACCCAATATCTTAAATAACCATTCCAAGAACGAGCTCAATCCCAAGAAAGTTGCAACCAGTGGACTTTCTAAGCAGCATTGAGCCTTTAAGTTCTTGGTACAACTTTGTGAAGCATTCACGGGAGTTGGCCTTATATTTCTATGTGATTTGATGTTTTATGGAAGTGTCGTCAGATATTCACTCAGAGCTGCAGACCTTCAGTGCATGTGTGTTGTTGTAGATGACAGCACTGGAGACTGCCGAAGGGGAAGAGTCGTTGGCTGCTATTGGATACCTCCTCAGCTTAGTCATGAAAAGGTGGGTGTGCAGTTGAACTAAATGCTTTTCATAAAAGGTTACTAACGGGATGTGGTGGTCAGGCTCGCTGGCTTGGTGACGAATGTCATCGGTTCCCAATTGCACAGATTGATGCTCATGCTGTTGATTGCCTGGTCCAGACTCGATTATTTACAGACCACTGTCATATAGCTGGAATATTGCTGAGTGTGGCGTAAAACTAAACTCGCTCACTCACTTACATACAAGACGAGAGGCTGTCTCACGTACATGTTACATCGAAGTATTGATGAAGAAAGTTTTTTACCCCTATCGTAACTAGTAATGGATATTGCTCACACAATTCAGATTGATAATCGGAGCTCAGTAACTATTCAATCAATTGCATCAGCACTAATAGTAACCATTGTCCCTTGGGTGATAAGACTCGTCACGTTGAGTGTTTTGTTCTACTGAGCATACCCCACCCATGTAGGGTTTTGGTCATAATATCAACCACTGGTTGGTTGGGCACTGACTAGATTGTTTACATGCTGTTTGTGTGTTATTGCTTGTTGTTTAATGTGCAATATAGAAATATTCTGTATGTAGTGAGTGAGTAGCTATCTATGTAGGAAGGCGTTTCCTATTCTCTCGGTACTTTTCTCCCATTCTTTAACATGGCACTAAGGTTACCTTAGTGACTTACGATCACCAAAGTGCTTTGTGAAAGGAGGCCCAGGACTTCATAGCTCCATGCCACTATTTAGTGTTCAAGGACGGGTTGGTTAGTGTTTGGAGAGAATGCATTGATAGATAGATGACAAGAATAGTAGTAAAATGATAACAAAAGCAACAATACATGGACATTCATAATAACTGTTTTGGGCCTTTGGCAATGAAAGAAATGCATTTGGAATGTCAGCAGATACGCTGAAATACTTTCGAAAAGGGCCATCACTCTTTCCAAGCTCAGGGGTGAACAATCTCATGACAATCCAATTCTGAACTGTATGTGTTTTGAACATTTGTCAACAGAGTTCCTGTGCCAGTGTTGAGAAGCCGATTCTCCCAAGTAGCCAAGCAACTACTGGATCTGCTGGCCAAGTACAGTGATGCTAATGCAACGTCCTTGTTGAAATCGGTAGTAATAGATGTTATCACCATTGTAATGAATAAATGTTCAGAGCTCCAGATAAGATTTAGCTCATGTGGGTACTGTACCCACTGTATTTATTTTTCCTTATCCTGACTCATGCTCTTTTGCTTGTCTTCTTCTTCTTGCGAACATAGTGGAAACACTTGTATCTCCTTAATTGAAGCTCCCTTCAATGTAAAATCACTAATTGGTACTCACCACGAGTTGCTCCCCTTTAATCCCTCTGGCGGGGAAAGGTGTCGCCACCTTACAACCTCGTGCTTCACTCTCTCCTTCTTCGCCCAGTGAGCAGGATGCGAGAGCGCGCCTGTGTCTCCTTACACAACATATCCTTTGATATTTCTTAGTTTATTACCTCTTATAGTTTACTATAGAGGTATAGCTAGTATCCTTCAGTAATTTGTATTGATTATTTATCGTATTTCTACTGTTTATTCACGTGTATTCGTGATTGTTCAGCTAGTATTACGTTGATGAAAATCTGTACTATTTGTAGATTATGTTTTTCTGCCTCAGATCCGCATGTAATATGCCCTAGTTGTTCTACGCCGTGTGTGTTTGATTCACGTTGCAGTTATTGCATTAATTTATCTAATTCTGCATTTAATAAATATTATCTTTGCGTCTTAAGACGTGCTGCAGATAGGTCACGCCAAACAAGGGCTAAATATGGCTGATACTCCAGATACTCCATCTAGTCAGCTGCTGGCGATCGACCCCTACCGTCTGGTGTTCTGCTAGAGACCCCATCGGAAGAGGGGCGTGGGGACGCAGTCCGTCACCTCTAAGAAGCGACCGGCCTCCCCAGACATCCCGTCATCGCAGCTAAAGTCCAAGAGGGCCTCGGCGTCTTCTCAGCGCGAGCTTCCGACTCCCAGGGCAGCGTCGACATCCAAAGGAAAGTCTCACGAAGACAGCGAGAACTTTCTCAGCCGAGATCGTTCCAGCCGAAGAAATGGGCCTCTACGATGACCAGCCGATTATCATCCCCGACATACGGCACAAGAAGCGACCGGTGTCAGCGACAGTGACTTCAGCAGAGATCTCCATGCAGCCTGATGCCTCTACACTGATGTCAGACGTTATTGCTGTGGACCCCATCATTAACACCGCAGAGAAGGCTCAGACGACGTCGTCGCAGACCATCCCTGATGACCTGATGCAGCAAATTATGACGATGATGGAAGACCGATACAGACTGCAGAAGCAGGGACCGAGCCTTAGCGAAGGCTACAACGTAGACAGCACCCAAGAGGCACCCCCGTCAACGTAGCAGCCAGGACGATGTCACCTTCGCGAAGGAAGGCATGGACCACCTCCACGAAGGACCTAGATGTACAGCCTTCGCGAAGGCCTTCGCGAAGGCGGGATAGATCATCACCCTCGTCACTTTCATCCCAAGATGTGGACTCGGACCATCAGACATCACGAAAGCCTTCGCGAAGGTCTTATCGTAATTCCCCCGGACCGGACGCAGAGGAAGCTTCGCGAAGGCATTCGCGAAGGGCAGCTGAATCCAGATCATCATCATCTAGAAGGACATCGAGGGACTACACAAGAGCTTCGCGAAGCTATCAACGTTCTCCTCACAGGTCACCGAGAAGATCAACCCATAGACGTAGATCACCTAGACGATCTCCTCCTCGTTCATCACCATGTAGATCACCTTACAGGTCACCATACAGAGCTGCACAAGCATCGCCGGACTTAGAGACAGAAGCACGCAGTCCAGAGCAGCACCAACCTCTCATCAATGATGATGGTATAGAGGATGATGGAGTTATTTTCTCCGATGCTGAGATACGGTATTGGATGGTCAATAACCTAGATCTCTCATCACCATCTAAAAATGGCAATGTGGCGCAGACATATCTGATGAAAGAAGACGATGCAGATGCTATCACACTACCACCGATCGACCCGATTGCAGCAGTCCCACATAATCTAGATGCAGCATTCCACAAAGCACGAAAGTTCAGACACCACATCTACCAAACTTTCATGCCAAGAAGTTCTCCACGCATAACATGGACCCCTTCTTCAAAGCTCAAGACATCGATGAGAACTATAAGTTGATCAACGACGTCAAGTACAAGAATTACAAGATTGATGATCGCAAGTTAGTCCAGATAGAAACCATGACGAGACGTATGTTTTTTGGTTTAAATAGATCTAGAACGATCAATGAGACTCTTATCACCAGATTTCGTGATACGACTTCTGAGGATGATAGAATGATTTATTCTGCCTTACTTATGCAAAAGAAAGACCAGCAGTTCCTAACAGATCATCTTACATCTATTTCAGCAGCACTGACCTTAGCTCGTCGTCAAGGCCTCCTCGCTTCCTGCAACTGGGGTGAGAACTTTACAGCCCCGCTGTATACAGCCCCGTGGTCTTCAACATCCATCTTTAACGGAGAAATAGACAAAGTTTCCAAGGAAGTCACTAAGGATTCCAGAGAAGTCCTGATGATTAAATCGATGGACACACTAGCCAGCGTCATCCGACAGACCTCTCAAAGATACTCAGGAAGATCTAAATTCACGGGCCTACAGAGAGCACGAGACAGGAAGATAGCCAGCTCTAGAGGAAAAGATTCTTTTAAAATTAAGCCCATTCGGCAACTATAGAGGAGGATCAGGAAGCAGCAGGACACCCAGAGGTTCCCGCAACTATAAACGCTGAAAGACAGGTTCGGAACGACTGGAGTCTTCCACCCCCAGCCGTTCCAGTACAACCATCTCAAGTGGGTGGACGCCTCCAACTATACTGGGACAACTGGGGAATGTTACAAGACCCTTAGTCTCCAACATTCTTCATCACGGATTTCGTATCCCACTAAAGGCCAAGCCTCCGCTGACAGTCAACCCTCACAAGTTCGACTTACAGGCACAACAACTACCGAAGTTAAGAGAGGCTGTTACATCACTTCTAATAAAGCAGGCCATAGAAGTACTAGACCAAGACAACATAGAACCAGGTTTCTACTCCCCAGTTTTCCTAGTTCCCAAGAAAAACTCCAAGGAGAAATACAGACTCATCTACAACATGAGCTTTTTCAACAAGAACTATCTATGCAAACCTCCGAAGTTCCGCATGATACATTTACCTCAGTTTACGCAGTTGATTAAGCCCCATGGACTACATGGGCAGTATCGATCTACAGGGCGCTTACCTGCACATCCCGATACACTCCAAAGCCAGGAAATACGTCACGGTTTACTTTAGGCGGGCAACATTACCAGTGGAAAGTGCTCCCATTGAATATCATCAGCCCCTGGCTTTTCACGAGGATAAGCGAAACCGATTATCACCTATCTTCATCATCAAGGGCTACGATGGTCGCGTTTTACCTCGACGGCGGGATACAAGTAGATCAAGATCCACAGCATCTCAAACTACAGTTAAACTACATCATAAAGCTACTAACACAGCTAGGATGGTTAGTAAACTTACTCAAGTCGGACCTAGTACCGTCACAAGACCTACAGTTCCTAGGCATTTGATTTATCACAAATCTCAACCGTATCGTCGTACCAGAAGACCGTTGGATCAAGATCCAACAGACCATTCCACCAGCTCTACTCTCTCCGTTACCACTTCGACAGTGGCAGAGCCTCTTAGGTCTCCTCACATCAGCCCAAGACATGACAGTCAGAGGCAGGTTACAGTTACGTCCCTTACATGTCTTCATCAATGCACATCTCGACGATTTACAGCCATTCAGTCTACCGAAACATCTCAGACCTCATCTACTATGGTGGACAAAGAAATCGAATGTCTGCGAAGGGATTTGTTTAGCAGAGCAGGAATTCAAAACCCATCTATATGTGGATGGCGTCACTTCAAGGTTGGGGAGCTCATCTAAGCCAACCAGGCGACATCGGGATTATGGAACCAACAAGAAAGCAAACTCCATATAAACATCCTAGAGATGAAAACTGTAATCAACGCCATTCTACATTGGAGCACATTTCTACAAAATGCGCACCTGGTGATTCATACCGACAATTCCACAGTGGCGTTCTACGTGAACAAGCAAGGCTCAACGAGATCACTGAACCTTTTGAACTTAAGCTTTCAACTATTCGATCTAACCCACGATCTAAATCTACAGATCAGAGCAGTTCACATTCCCGGAGCCAGAAATGTACTAGCAGACGCGCGCTCTCGGCCTCATCTACCATCACCGACAGAGTGGATGCTCAATACGGAAATATTTGCACAGATAATCAAGCCGTTAGCAGCGCCAGCTAATAGATCTATTAAGCCACAAGATTCAACAATCAGCTACCGACATTCGTGTCACCAATCCCAGATCCACAAGCTTGGGAAACGGCGGCTCTAAGTATATCATGGGAAGGCCTCAGCGTGCAGCGTTTCCGCCGCCAGCAATAATACCTCAAGTATTACAGAAAATCAAACAAACACAGAGTCTACAACTCACTTTGGTCGCGCCCTACTGGCCGGCCAGAGTATGGTTTCCCATTCTAATTCAAGAAATCGGTCAACCAGTATTAGAGCTACCCAAGCTCAAACCTGTTAATACATCCACACCGCGAAACAGGTGCGAAACCCAGAAGTTTACCAACTTCGCATTATGGACTGTATACAAATGTGTTTAAACAAGAGAGGATATTCTGCCAGGGCGGCAAAAGCGGTCATGCTTGCCTTACGACACTCGATTTCGTGGCTTGTATGCACGGCGACAAGTGGCACAGTTTCGAAAATTATGCAGCTAATAAAGGATTTACAGCGAGAGATGCTTCACATCCTCAAGTGGCAGACTATTTGTGTTACCTGCGGCAAAACAAACATTTAAGAGGTTCGACGATATCAACATATCTTGCCGCGCTTAGCTCTGTGATCACTATGAGAACGGGTGTCAAACTGACAAAATCTCCAGAGTTACTGGCCTTACTACGTGCTTTCCGATTGGAGGACCAAAAGCGGAAGTTCCACGCCCCAGCTTGGGATCTGAA